TTTAAGAAATAAAATTCTATTATATAACATGATAATACACAATCAGCATGAAATACGACAAATTTGGCGAACTTTTGGCAACGAACAATTTGTAAAAAAATCCGAACTACAAGAACGTCATAAAATACTGTCAACTTTGAAATTTTCACAATTATATATTTAATGAATATATAACCATTTTTAAAATGACTCAGGCAGTTATATTACAACAAAACAGCAATACATATATAAATTTTTGACTTACCGTACTGAAAGTTTCCTGCATTTTCCGGAAATCTTTCTTTCATACTTTCTGCTATTTCTTCATAGCCGACTTTTTTTCCCCCTATAATATGGGTGCTCTATGTCCCATAAATATGGTTTTTTCTTTACTTCTTCAATTAAATTGGCCTCTATTTCCACCGTCCATGACTTCACAGTGAGAAACATCGCCATATTGAAAGTTACCGTGATCCTTCAGAAGCAGAACTTTCGTCTGATTGGTTGAACATGTGTCTCCAGACAGAACATTTTCAGAAAAGTTTTTAAAATGTTCCTCCTAGCTAGACAACTTTTATCAAGTAAAATTCTTGCCTAAAATTTGTTGCATGTGGAAAAATGGCTTTTTGGGTTTAACCCTTTGTTACATACAAATAATCTAGAGAAGTTAAATGAAAATGTTTGTATTTTTCTACTTAAAATAACTTTAGTAATAATTAAAAAAAATTAATTTTATTCAAATTTTGTTTTAAATATTTGCTACAGTTTGTTCACTACAGTGGACAGCATACATATATGTATGCTATCCACTGTAGTGAACTGTACTGCATCCAAATCTCCTCCCAACGATTTACAGTCATTGAATCTGAAATCATTTAATGCCTTGTTTGCAGTGATCATTACCATCTTCTAAATGGTCAATCTACAACTGTCATGTGTACATACAGATCCTCCGAAATACCTCCATTTCGTCGATTGTGATTGAAATTCATTTCGCTACGATTTTGTAACCTAGTACCTATTGGATTCTAATCTCAAATGTTCTAGAAATTTCTTGCCAAATATGAACACTTCCAGTTGGTGTTTTGGATTGATAAGCAGTGCATTTGGGTTTCATTTCACTCTTTTCGGTAGATCTTTTTCTACCCACTCCACAATCTTCTCAAACTGACATTTAAAATAAAATGTCTAAAATTACTAGTTATGAATAAAAAATGGCAGTAATAAGAAATGTAGGCCGTATATATAATGTTACTATGAGAAATTGTACTAACTTGGAAACGGAAGTAGCAGCCATTTCCGTGCTTTACTTAGTAATGCTATACAGCCATTAAGGATCGACAGTTGAAAGTTCTAATAATATAGAATGAATAAACACAGGAATGGAATTTGTTAAGGCATTTACAGAAGAATAAACAAATTTAAACTTTTGTCTACTAGAGTGGACATGATGCAACAAAAGGTTAATGTATGCAAAGTGGGGAAATACTTAAAAATAAATAATTAATTTTAACCAAAAATGTAACAGTCATAATTTCCAGTTTAACTTCCTGTGGCTCATCTGTTTCAGATGAACGGGCTTCAGCAGTGCCTACTTGAATGATTCCCAATCTTGCCTCCTGGTGCTCGTCTTTTTCATATGAACGGGCTAGAACAATGCACACTCGAACATTTTCCAGTCATGCTTCCCATTGCTCATAATGCCTTTTTCTTTCATGCTTGAGGTGTACACCGAGCAATCAATTTTCGTTTTGATGGCCTAATTGATTTTACAGCAAAAGTAATGCTTTGCAATAATTATTACAAATTAGATAGCCGAGTTTGTGTATTAAATTCAAGACAAATTAATATAATTTCACTTTCAGGGTTCATAGCCACATTTTAGTTAAAAAAATAAGCACCTATAAGCACTTTTCAAGCACATTTAAGGAAAAAAATAAGCACCTGTCTAATTACATTATACACAACTGCTTAACCTTAAAAATTAGACTTGTAATTAAAATATGAGAAATGCAGTATTTATTAAGAGAGAATAAACATTACCTCAACTATGGAAAATAATTACTTTTTTAAAATTTTAAATAACAGTTCAATTAACAGAACTAGTTTACAATGAGAGAAAAAAAAACTATGCAGAACTAAAACTATATACAAGATTTAATGATGAATGAAATTTCAGTTCAAAATAGAAAATAAATAATAATAAGGCATATTATTGCATTCGCTTGCAACCTAATAATAAATACAATTTACTTTTCCACTCATATTGATATTTAAATAATTTAAATCTGAACATTTTCTTAATTTACATTGTATATCAGTTTTTTCCTTAACAGATATTGCAAGCAAAGTAATTTAAGTAAAAAAAGAGGAACATTTCTGAAATCAGAAGACAGAGATTTGCTTCATGCAGTCATCCTTTAACAGTAAAAGCTTACTAACTGCCCTACTTGGAAATTGGCGAATATTCGGACAGTCGAGCGTAACTTGAAAAAGAGGAGCGGGGAGGGGGGGTAGACTGTAGCCGCTCTTTAGAATTTTCTGCTAAATAAAAGCTTTTGACATTTCGATATGTGCATCATATAAAAATAAACCAATGGAACTGAAAAATATTTGGCTTAGCAAGCACAGTAAAACTCTTTTAAGTGTTCATAACACAAATCTCGGACAGAACATCAAAATTATTTATCTCTGCAAAATATCGGCAAACGTTATTGTGCAATACATGTGCCCCGTAATTCTTTCCTATGTGATAGTTATGCAATCGGAATCAACAGCTGCCGGTATTGGGAGAATAAAGAAACAAATAACTGGGGTGTTTTTTTCATTCTAATTTTCAAACAGACTGCGTTAAATTTCCAGGAATAGAATCATTCTTCGCTTGAGTTGGTAGACCGTAGAACTTTTAGTCCTTTCAATCCAGATTGAATTCAGCAGTTTGCTGCAACTATGTTATTATAAACATTCATACATATGCTCATAATATAAGCATAACGATCATAATAAACACGAATATGAACTGACCAAGCGGAACGAGAATGCAAATTATTAAGATCTTGATAGAAATTCAAACGTGTAGTATTTGGGTGGGAGGAAAAGAATGCCGAATGTACCGGAATTTTCTATTGCTTTCGCTATTCTTTGACCAATAGAACGACGGGCACCTGTCTGTACTCTTTGTGCGCACCAAAGGTTATGTAATGCAGAGAAAGGGGGAAAAGCTTTCCGGGAGTATGATTCACCACCTGACATTCAATATTAAGAAAAGTTGTTTATTTAGTTTCGGCTTTTTGGTAGGGGGAAAATAGCGCGTTCATTAAAAAAAAAAAGCACTAAACTAAAACAAAAAATAAGGGCTTTAAAGAAAAAGTAAGCACCTATAAGGGCCTTTATATTTTATTTTCAAATATAAGGACTTATAAGCACTTATAAGGACCGCTATGAACCCTGGTTACATGCAAAAAAGCAAGTCTTAATAAAAATCGATATGCCAAATGTAAAGTTAATATGTTGGTTTTTTCGTGCACTACATGAACATATACATAAAATTTTAAAAAATAAGTCAGAGCAGAATATAATTTATACTAAAAAAAACTTTTATGTAATCAGTTTGCAATTAAGTTTCTATTTAAATGAGAATATCTATTCATTTCATTTATGCGATCATAATGGATTTTCATCGTAGTTTTGGAAGTACTTTAAAATTATGCAATGAAGATATTAATCGTAAATTCACAATTTCTTAGAAACTGCACTGTTAAAAACATAAATATTTTGGAATTTTATATATATATATAAGCATAACGATCATAATAAACACGAATATGAACTGAACCACGCGGAAGAGAATTTAAATTATTAAGAATCTTGATAGAAATTCAAACGTGTGTAGTATTTTGGGGTGAGGAGGAAAAGAATACCGAATGTATCCGGAAATTTTCTACTGCTTTCGCAATTCTTTGACCAATAGAACGACGGGCACCACATGTCTGTACTCTTTGTGCCGCACCAAAGGTTACGCTAATGCAGAGAAAGGGGGAGAAGCTATTTCGGGGAGTTGATGATTCACCATCTGACATTCCACATTAGGAAGAAAAGTTGTTTATTTAGTTTCGGCTTTGGTACCAGGGAAATAGGGCGTTCATTAAAAAAAAAAAAAAAAAAAAAAAAAAAGCACTAAAAACAAAAAATAAGGGCTTTAAAGAAAAAGTAAGCACCTATAAGGGCCTTTATATTTTATTTTCAAATATAAGGACTGCTACGAACCCTGACTTTCCCTCTTGTTTTGAAGGTCAAGTGTGGCAAGTTTTCATAAACTGGCAATTTCATAAACGGAATTAAACTGGCAATCAGTAAAAACGAAATATTTGTTAATAAAAAAAAACTTAAGGTAATTTTTTGAGATATTAGAAAGTGTATCTGAAGTTTTCTGGTTCTTTTTGTTAGTTATCAAAAAATGGCAATATGTAAAAGAAAAACAAAAATAACCTTTTTAAGCAGTTGAGGAATAATAATAGACTTTAACATATCACAGATAAATGACAACACTATGCTATTTGTAAGACAAAGCATTTTGATATTAAACTGACAGGAATAACAATTTTCTTTCTATTTTTTCATTAATTTTACTCAGCATAAATTAAAAGTTACTCTAATTTTAATGTTCACATAAAGATTAAACTGGAAGAGGAGGAGGAGGAAGAACAGTTTTAGTGTTGAGAAAATTACTTATGAAATTTATTCTAATCATATTATATATAACATTAATGGACAGTTCACAACTGGTCAAGCAATTAAAGCCAAAAAAATATTCCTAATTTTTCTGTGAAATCTATTTCCAGCTGTTAAATAGGTTGATTGCAGAATATCTTTCTCATGTGTAACATAAATAAGATTCAGTTTTACCTTAGAGATGTTCTTATTGAAGCATATTCATTATTAAATTATTAAATAATCCAATCCTTAATATAAGTATTATTCAGCAAATTTTGTTAAAAGATACAAAATGAATACAAACAAAAGCATTAACAAAGAGGATGTTTATTGATATTATTAAAAAAATGCTTAGTTTATTATGAGATGACAAAGAAAATGTACATGAGTTTAGAATTCTCACAGTGATTTAGTCTGAGCTGAACTTTGTCTTTTTGGTAGGCGGCTGCAAACCATTTTCATCATCACTTCCAGACATTACCGTTATTTCACCTTCCTTTCTCATGACATCTTCAGAATCAGAAACATTTTCTGAAAGACATAAAATTATGATTTAAAATAGCACTACATACAACAAAAAATGTTAGTAACATATAAAATTTAATGTGTCAAAAATGCTCTTTACACAGGTATTATTCAGAAGAAACATATGAATAAAGAAAATGAACAAATATTTATTCTTATGTTTAGAACATTTATAGTTATATAAATAATGTAAAGAAACATAAGTAGGTTGGGAAAAAAACACAAAATTTCACATCAATATGAAGAAGCTCGAAATTAATAAGCAATCTGAAAAATGCTACATCACTTTTCTATATGACCACAAACTTTTTTTCACATGATTCAAGATATTTTTTTTCGTATATGCAAACCAGCAATGTTCTGCCTGTTTAACCTTGCTGCTACAACAATAACTACAAAATCCTATAAAGACAACTTAAGGGCCTAAATCGTCAGTAAGACATAGATAGGTAGCTTGTGAGGTCTATTCTGTAGTATATTTTATGATTAACAAAATTAACTATTCCTGATCACATAACACTTAATGCATGTATTTGTTCATACAGTTTGATAATTATGGTGTATGTACACATATACATAACACAGACAACAGTGTATATGAATACGCTTTTAACACTAGAACGGCAGTAGGAGTTATTTTGACTCCTGAATACTTTTGACATTTGATTACTTTTGTTTTATTGGAAGAAACCGTTTGGATTTCCCCCCCCAAATAGATAACAAATATTTGTAAAAGAAGATTTGTTAGTTTTTGAAATATTGGAATGTTCCTAAAATGGCGGACCGGGGGGGGGGGGGTCATTTTGAACCCTTTACTTTTAGCCCTCTTTCTGCTATTTACTGCAGGTGATAACAATTAGTAGATTTTTTTGGTAATCCCAAATCAGTATTTCAGTACATATGAATTTTGCCTTCATATTCATTATCACCTTTCCTTTATGCTGTGAGAATCATATGCTAAAATATATTCCCTATCGTTTTCTGATAGTCTGATATTTTTATACTTTTTTCAACTTTTATAAAATATGTCTAATAAGCGGAAAAGAGGTCTTACGGATAAAGAAATTCAAAAATTGTTGCAGGAGCTATCTGAAAATGAGTGTGACAGTGGTGAAATTGATAATTTTTCTGTAGAAACTGAAGATGAATTCGAGACACAAACTATTAGTGAATCCGAAGACAGCGAAGTAAACGAAGAACTCAGCAGAAATAAATGGGCAAAAACAGATCAGGGTATTTGCAAAACTGTTTTTATGGCTCCTGATAACACTATATGGAATGAAATAAATTCCAAAAATTCAGTTTGTGGCCATGTTCCTGCTTATAATATTCTAAAAAACAGCAGGACCAACATCTTTTGCAAAGAGTCGCGCTTCTGAGGACAAAGTGTCTAGTGCTTTCAAGCTTTTTATTGATGATGATATCTTGCTGCATATAAAGAAATGTACAGAATCCAAAGCTCATCGGCAACTTGGAAATAAAGACTGGAAGTTATCTCTGGCTGAGTTAGATGCTTTTGTAACTATATTTCTATGTTTGAGGAGTAATTGGCTTAGATTTATATTCCTTGTGATCTGAAGCATGGGGAATTCCGTTTTGCAAAGAAACTATATCAAGAGATAGATTCAAAGAAATAAAATGATTTTTTAAGGTTCGATGAAAAGACAACAAGATCTCGATTACAGACTGATAAATTTGCTCTTGCATCAGACATGTGGAACAAAATTTATTGAAAACTGCAAAATGTGCTATCGGCCAGGACAAAATATTACAGTTTATGAATAATTATTCTCATCTAAAGCTAGGTGTAGATTTACACAATATATGCCTAATAAACCAGATAAATTTGGAATAAAATTTTGGTTATCTGTCGACGTTGATACTAAATACCTCTTGAATGCATTTCCTTATCTAAGAAAAAATTAAACAGCAAAGAAAATGAAAGAGAAAATGGCATTTCCATAAACCAATTTTCTCTCACCAAGGCCCCTACAGAAGATAAATACTGCTCATTCCTACTCACAAGGGCAATCAAACACTACATTTCTTTGACGAAATCAAGTTATAGTGGTCTAACATTGAGATGTAAACTGATGAGGTGATTATATAAAAAAAATTCTACATCATCTGTTTCCGTTCACAAACTAACGATAGCATTAATTTAAATTAGCTGTTACTTTCCGAAACTCCATCTTATATAGGTTAACTTTCAACAAACCACACAACATATCTAGCCCTTGTACTTCTCTAATATTCTTTGCTTGTTGACAGTTGATCTTATTTAGTCTCTTGCCCAGATGCGATATGTCAAGATACATTTAGATATGTTTTAAAAGAGTGAATACACAGATGTACTTATATTTTAGAAGCATAATAAAAATAAGAGAGTAAAAACTGGAAATCACAACTATTTAAGAGAGCTAAGAAAACTGATAGTAAATAAATGGGGAGAACAAGAAAGTAAACATGATGGGGGGGGTAAGGCCTAGCAATTATTTTCAATCTCTGAGCAACCTGTTAGATAGTTACAACTTATCAAATTGCAAAGAGAAAAAAGGGCAACAGTTGTATCAGAATTTCAAACTAATGCACAAGAGTTATTTCTACATTTGCAATATAAAGTTTTTCTTATAATTTTACATGTTTTTTTCAAAAAAAGAATAGTTTAAATAAAAAATTACTATTAGAAACAATAGAAATTTAAGTACAATAAATAGAAGGGTACATTACTTAATTTGTACATCAGTTTACAAAACGTACATATACTTGCTTTTGTTTATGGACTTTTAAGTTAATATATTTCATATAACTATGTATTTTAAGGGGACTGAAAATCAGGATTTCAAACTAATGCACAAGAGTTATTTCTACATTTGCATATAAAGTTTTTGATTCTTATATAATTTTACATGGTTTTCTCAAAAGAATAGTTTTAAATAAATAATTACTATTAGAAACAACTAGAATTTAAGTACAATAAATAGAAGGGTACATTACTTCATTTGTACATCAGTTACAAAACTTACATATACTTGCTTTTGTTATGGACTTTTAAGTTAATATATTTCATATAACTATGTATTTTAAGGGACTGAAAATCAGGATAAAAGGCAACATGTTACTTTCCAACACATTTAAAATGAAAGGACAATTTAAAAACTATGCTAGTGTATATGAGAGGAAGAAGCATTATGCACGTAGTATAGTGAGAATGTTATGGAATGTATTATTTAATTACATTAAAGCAAGAGAAAACTACTTACGAAAGGGGAGAAATTCTTTTGCACATAATAATTTAAAATAAGATTTAAGTAGAAGGAACTAGTGGTAAACATATTCAGCAGTACCCACAGAAAAATTTTTCATGTACATATCCTAATTTCCTCATCTATCAATGAATGCTCCTTTTAAACTTTTAAAAATCTCATAGTTATTATTACACTGCAGATTAATGTATTGTTAGCTAATATTTTATCAAAAATAAGCAAAGATAATATCAGTCAAAATTAACATTTAATTTTGTGATTAATGAGTACAGATAACTTTTGCATCCTTTATTTCAAGTGAACAGAAGTTTCCTACAAATAGTAATTAAATAAAGCATTTTAAGTTTTTACCATACCCAGATTTTAAAACTGATATTTTTAAATATATTTTTAGCCACTGATTTCATTTACTTCTAGAATATGTTTTTCTGCAACAAAATTTTTAAGAAATTGCCATCATGATATTTACCATAAACATATTTCAGAACAAAATACTACCCCTTGCTTTACCTGTAACATTATGGCCACATTCTTACACATTATTTAGGCAAATTTGTCAATAAAATTTGATTTGTAATCTTGCAGTAAAACTTTTCTGTTTCAGTGCATCATTATTTTAAAGTCAAATTGTGACATGAATTTAAAGTGAGAGATGTGAAGGAGTTACTACGTACGGTAAGGCATTAACAGCGGGTATTATGTGACACATCTATAGGACTGCTAAGGGTGTCAGCAGTATTTGATACAGCTGAAATGCTGATTATAAGAATAATTACGAAGGATTCTGAAAATTACAAACCTTTTACAATCAATTTTACTAGTCATTACAATGTCCACAGATCATGGCATTTTAGAAAACAAGTGATAATTATCATGACCAACTAGTATTCATTAAATAGAAATAGAATTTAATGAATCAAAACATAGCACTATACCAGAAATTCCAAATATTTTAGCAGGAAAATAGTTATTACTGAATAATATTTACATTATACCACACTTATTTTTACAGGCATTGTTAAACTTATATATATATTACCAAAGACAATATCTCCATCTTCCTTTGCCTGACTTGCATCGTCCACATGTTTAGAAGGCTCTGGCTTCAGATCTTCAACATCTGTTTCAAATTCAAATTCTTGACCAGTTAATTCTGACCTAAATTAGTAATTGTTTAAAAAAAAAAAAAGCATCATATATTAACACAGAGCATCAATAAATGTTACATAATGAGAGAAAAAATTTAGATTTTACATTACACTCAAAAGGGCATTTTTCAATGTTTTGTGTGTTACTTTATTTATTAAATATCATGTTCTTCGCACTTAAACCACAAAATCCAATTCAACAGCAATATCGCAAAATAATTTTAAAACGAGCATATCTTTAGGATTTCCGATACACAGTCTTGCACACTAGAGATAATCCCCCCCCATACAGTGTTGCCACTGTTCATTTTGAAATCGCCAAGTTTGTTAATAAAAAATGCGTTAAAGTTATACAAAATACGAAATCGATAATAAAACATATTCCAAATTATGGCTTCCCATATTTGTGGAGGATTAGGCTATTCAAAATTTGATGGCTCTAGCTTTCGTTTTATCATAATGCGACACAAATATACATTTACGCAGATTCTTCATTATTTAATTCTTTAAATATAATGCAGGGCTCTAATATTTGGTGCAACAATTTGAAAGTAATTCACCGTTTATAGGGATTCAACACAAAATGCAAAACGAAATTAATAGTCCTTCTGGGCAAATGCCCCTTTGGACTAAAAAGACAAAAATATGAAAAATATCTACTTAATAGGAATGAAAACAATTTATGACCAGCATGAATGTTAAATGTTATCAGCTGTCAGTTGACTGACAGCTGATAACATTTAATATTACAAAAGCTTATACAAGTTATTAGTGATTGACTGAACTTCTATAAAAATAAAATTTATATATATTATTACTGGAAGATACTTTTTGTTTTGCACTGTTATTTGTTTGAATATTTATTATTTTTTTTCCCAAGAAGACTTAATTTAAAATTAAAAAAAAAAATTATTAACTGCAACTGATAAATGATACTTCTCACCATTTTCTTAAAAAGTGATATGAAACTTAATATTTCTCTTTGAGAATTACTTCTGGAGAAACTAGCAGATGGCACTGTTTAAAAACATGCCAATAGAGGGTCAGAAATAGACTATGAGTGTGTAATGGTGATGCATATCGATCCCTTAACACGCAGCTGGGTATATATATAAGCAGTATATTGTATTAATAAAATGAAACTAAAGAAATAATAGAGTGTGTTCAATTTAAAAAAGCATACTAGATAGACAACCTGACATAAGAATACCAGTAAGTTTTTCAAGACTTTAAAAGTTGAGAATTACTTCTGGAGAACTAGCAGATGGCACTGTTTAAAAACATGCCAATAGAGGTCAGAAATAGACTGATGTGTAATGGTGTGCATCGATCCCTTAACACGCAGCTGGGTATATATAAGCATATATTGTTTATAAATGAACTAAAGAAATAATAAGAGTGTGTTCAATTTAAAAAAGCATACTAGAGACACCTGACATAAGATACAGTAAGTTTTTTCAAGACTTTAAAGTTTGAGAATTACTTCTGGAAAACTAGCAGATGGCACTGTTTAAAAAAACATGCCAATAGAGGGTCAGAAATAGACTATGAGTGTGTAATGGTGATGCATATCGATCCCTAAACGCAGCTGGGTATATATATATAAGCAGTATATTGTATTAATAAAATGAAACTAAAGAAATAATAGAGTGTGTTCAATTTAAAAAAAGCATACTAGATAGACAACCTGACATAAGAATACCAGTAAGTTTTTCAAGACTTTAAAAGTATAAATGCATCACACATACATATATAACAAGAATAAATAAATAAAAATATGTATAGAATTATAATTAGCTTACGTTGGTTGAATAATGAGAAGAATTTTGTAACACTGGAAGAAATCTTCACATAACAGCCGAGTTTCGGAAGTGATCCCAAAGTCTGACAGTGGTTTTCCCATAATCTCTTCTATAAAAAGAAAACTTTATTAAGAAACAGACGCAAAAATACAAAGCAGTCATAGTGAACATTAGAAGAATATGAAAATTCATCAATCAAGTTGTTAAAAATAATCAGTCCTCTTTTATCTAACACATAAAAAATTTTAAAATTTGATAGAAAACTTGTAATATGAAATTAAAATGCACATATTTTATTTAGAAAACATAAAAATTGCCAAGTATGATCATACGTTCAGTATTGACATGTTTCTATCTGAGATTCAGGAATATTGATAAATTCCATTTACCAAATCAAAAAGAATTAATTTTTGATTAGAGTGTATCATTTTGAATTTTCATCTACCTAACCTACTGTATACAATATCTGCACACAAAATTGTCATTATTACTCAGATTAAAAATGTACAAGATGCGCAAGAAACATATACAATTATCAGATGACAAAATTTAAAAAAAAAAGGGGGGGGAGAATTCTGTACCAAACACTTGGTACATGGCATTAGAAACATCTTTCTTGATTACAATAATGTTTTACTGTAATTTAATTCATATTAATCAGATGTATCATTAAAAAAATTAAGAATTATACTGCTGAGAAACTCATATCACTAAACTTGAGCAATACAAACATGCTTTGCTAAATGGCAAAACTATGAGAAGTAATTATGTGCAAGAAATGTAAAAGATAAAGATGTAACAAATAATAATACCTGTAAAGGTTACATGTGGGTTTTGTTTTATTTATGTTTAATTATGGCAAAGCATGCAAGGTCTTGTCTCTAAGCCCTAAGAAAAACAGTTTTTATTTGTGGCATAATAGGCAATCAGGCTATCCTGTCTTAGAATACTGCTGCCTAGACAGGTTAGTGTTAATGACGCTGACTGCGTGTCCAAACTGCCTGGTTTTGAATCCCGAAGGCATGGATGTTTATATGTATATAGTGCCTATGTAGAAAGGAGACATTTAAAATACATGCTGAGCTGAAATCCTCTCAAGAGGTTGAAGGTAAAGAAAAGGGGGCGGGAGACTCTCAAACCACAGCCCCGATGTATTTTCCTTCGGAATTCATCCGAGGCGGAACCTTGGCAGTTAGCAAGGCCCTGCGATAACTGATACGACTACTTGGATGCATAGGTGCTGGCCTTGTTTCATCTTGTACCTGTCTTAGGATACTGCTGCCCAGACAGGATGATGGTTAGTGATGTTAACCGTCGTACCAAACACCCAGAATTTGAATCTCTATAAGAAGGCATGGATGTTTGCAAGTGTCTGTGCAGCACGAGGTACTCAAATACACGGCAAGCCAAAATCCTCTCAAGACACTGGCGGTAGGTAAACAGTGACTGCCCTCAGAGTCATCTCTTTTGGAATTCACAAGTTTGGTAGCTACACCATGTAAGGGAGGGGGACAGTTCTATATCTCCTGTTCTACTGGGCCGATTGACAAAATTCAACTTGAGTTTTTTGTGTCTCGAAAACGCGACTTAGGATATCTATTGGATTTTTATATAGCATTGTTTTAACATAGGTCTTTTGACACAAAATCGGAACTTTTACTGAAATGACATACCAATTGTTTTTTTCCATATTTCGATTCTATGACTCAAATTATGCCAAACTACATGAGTAGATTTTTAAAAATTAGCTCCCCAATGTTAATTAAATTTTTATATATTTATTAATATATCTTTTTTTTTATTAAACTTACTTGATTCCTTCTTCCAGAATTCCAAATTTAGCCTTAATCCAAACATAATTCGCACATGTTTTATTATTTAGTTTAAAAATATTTGGTATAAAATTTTGAAAAATATTTTGAATTATAACCTATAAAATTTTTTAAATCATTTTAAAGTAGATATATTGCATATCTGCAAAAAATTAGTTTTTTTTTTTAAATTCAAAATTTTCTAAGATATACATGAATTTACATTCTCAAATTTGGCATATTTAATATAAAGGATAACGAAAATGTAGTTTATGCACTTTGTTAAAATTATTTGAAAGAATGAACGATAGACCTTTTTTCCCTCTCGTGCATCTATGAAAAATAAAGGAAAGTAAGTAGTTTACTATATATTAAGAATTCTGCCAAATGATTTATTCTTGGCGTAAAATGAAAAAAAATCTGCCGACATTCTGACCAAAAATTACAAAATTTAATATTGAGGCATTATTTGAGTCGCAGACTCGAAATATGGGAAAAAATTGATGTTATTTCAGAAAAAGTCATTTTGTGTCAAAATACCTATGTTGGAATACTGCTATATATATCCCAAGTCTCACTTTCGAGACACGAAAAACGAAATTTGAATTTCGTAATCAGCCCAGTAGAATGGGAGATACAGACCTGCTAGCCTAGTTCCTACCTGTATCTGCCTTAGAACAACTAAACATACAATTTTTATTTCTGCCACCTAATAACTACATTTTTGTTACGACAGTTAAACCAAGGTACAATTGAGACATTTAAAACAGGCATATGCCACAATGCATAAAAAGCAAAGATTCCATCATCCCTCATATGACTAAATTTCCCAGTGTCATTACCGAGGCACACACAATTGATGGAGAAGAATTTAATGACATACCTTTTGAAGATAGTAATGAATTGCTAACTGCCAAAGCCCTAACCCATGATGAAGTGTTAGAAGTTGTCCCTGAGACTCCTAATCCCACAGAACATGGTGAAGAAAATTATCTGGCTCTAAATGCAGATTCAATTTCATATATATGCATATATGTATATTTTGTTGAAGTAAAATAACAAACATGAAATAAATATTTTAAAATTAATTTTTGCTGACTTTCTTTAATTTTAATCTTTAATTTTAATCTTTAATTATATATATATAATTTATCATTAGAAAACTTTTTAATACTATCTTCAAGGAGCAGAAATTCAATTATACCATAAATAAATTTTTTATACAGCATTTTAATTATTATTTCTAGACTTCTATTGCTGTAAAAGACCATAAAAAGTTAAAAGAAAATCCTGAATCACAAAAATAACAAAATCAAAATTAAACATTTTAAGTATTGAAAAAGTTGTTATTGTCATTGACTGCAGATTAATTGAACTTGTTGAGGGGTAAAAAACCAATCTGCTATCAATTAATAACAACTAAATTAAGCGAGTGTTTTGTAATTCTTCCAAGTAAGGACCCAATAAATATTCTGTAAAGCCAGATCACAAGTCATGTACAATCTAAATCAATAGTCCATTTTAGCCAAATGATCATTTATAAACAAAATAAAACTATTAAGATAATCTTCTAAATTAAGTTCATTAAGAGCAGATCTAAATGGGATCCTCTCACTTTAGAAGAAGCATTCCCTGACAAAATCACCTTGAAACTCAATCATAAGTACTTTATTTTGAATTTTCACACACACACACACACACATATATATATATATTATTAGATGTAGAATTAGATGTAGATATATGCACATAAATAACAAACCTTGCATATCTTCAGGATCACTGGAGACTAGAATTTTGCCTAAGAATGAAAGAACAATTTTTTGTTAAACATAATATAAAAATTTACCTTAACACATAACATTAAATTACATTTATGAAATGATTTCTTTACAACTAAAGATATACTAGAATTACTTCTTTTACTGTTGAAATAAATTACATAAAATAACTAGAAACTCATTTTTAGTGAAGAATTTACTTCAAATCTGTGGAAAATTATAACTACACCAATTCCATAAATGAATCAATATAATACACTAAATATATGATGCTAGGAAGGGAGAATTCACTACATCATTACATATAAAAGAATGAACTTTTAAACTCATTACAGCATAATGAACACTTCATTATGTCAAAATCTGCTTTATAAAAATGCAAAAAAATTAAAATTTTTTTCCCCAGATCCTCTAATAAACAGTTTTTTTATATACGTCTCTATACCTTAATTTAAACTTTCTAACAAGATTATGATACTGGTTTTTCACAACTTTAGAAAACTAAATATTACATAACGGAATTACCAAAATAGTTATATCAACTTGCCAAACTTAAAAATCAGGAGAAAATTTTCAATAACAACTTTTTTTAAACAAGTAAAATACACAAAAGAGGAATTAAAAATAATCATTTGAAAGAGCAATAAGTTATGCTCATATATTTAACCCTGCAATGGAGAAGCCGGCGTACAGAGTACGCCAATGCTATCTTTTGGGCTGTAATTTTGAGACAACTCCTTCCTGAGCTACCTCTACCCTCTTAGAAACATTCTATGAGTGCAATGCATCTGGTATTTCTGGTTAGTCTGGTTTTCGATTTCCTTCCGAAAGCAGTTATTGTGAACATGTCGCGTAGGCGAACGCAGTACACCGCTCCTCCAAGTATGTACAGAAAGACTTTTGTACCTCTTGAAGATTATTTACACGTTTTAGAAGCAGTTGATGAAGACACCGACAATTTGGATAACACAAATGATGTCGATGAATCGGATATCATCGAACATTCTGATCATGAAAGTGATTCAGAAATTGAGGGAAATGTTTCTAAACATCCTCATTTTCCTTCCTCAAATGATGTTTCCCCAACAAATGACGATTTTAGTGATGATGAAAATGACATGAGTGATATAAATATGAGGACTTTTTGGAAAACAAAATTTACAAAAAGAAGAAAGTTTGGGGAAAGTTTCTGAAAGAAGAAAAGGAAACTTATAAATGGAATAAAGTTCCCCTCAAGAGTAAATTCGCCAGAACGCCTCGAAAACATTTGATGAAAAAAATTCCCAAGTGCCAAAACTTGTGACGATATAAATGATGAGCTTTATGAATTCCAGAAAATCAGAAATACAAATATGATTGATGCTATCGTACAATATACAAATATTTATCTCAAATGTAACAGGACTGCAGATGATCTCCAAAACATCTCAAAGAGAAGCATGTATGATACATGATTCACTGTCTCCCGAAAAACCAAGAGGTGGACAATGGCAATATTTTTTGCACAGCTAAACGTAGCGGGCATAAATTCGCAAGTGCTCTAGAACTTCGCCAAACCTGATGCAACCATCAAGTTTAGAAGATATTTTTTGAAAAATCTAGGTACATCTTTGATGAAACTTATCTTCAGAATCACCTGAAAATGCCATTTCTCCTGTCACATTCCAAAGCTATTATTAGAAGGCTGGTAACAACAAGAGAGGACAAGACGGGCAAAAGGGACGAGGAACCACCTGCAAAAAAGATCAAAGGACGCTGCGCTGAGTGCGGTAGAATGAAGAATAATTACACTACCATAAAATGTTCTCAGTGTTTTAAGTTTACTTGCAAAAATTATCTGGGCAAGACAGTACAACTTTGCAAACCCTGCTGCACTGAACAGGGACAAGCTGAAGAGGATTAAAGTAGCAAAAGGTTTTTAATTTTTTCATTTGTGAAATTTATTACTTACCGAAATTTACGAATATTTATAATTTGTAAATTTGATTTATGATCTTATAATTTTCATACATAAAATAATACAGAATACTCTATAACTTTAAATTACATTTCCAGTGCATTCCATTTTTTGAATTAATTAAAAAATTCTTAATTTCCATCTTTATTGCTTTTTTTTGTTATTCTTTTTTCTTATATCATTTTTACTATGACGATTCCCTTATTAATGCCACGTATAAGATTAAATAGTTTCAAACACGAAGCAGAGGCTCGAAAAACGACCTGGCGTACTTCATATGCCGCCCCTCTAAAATTGTACCATATACCAGCCCCTCCAACTGAGGGTTAAAGAATACTTTTGATTATTTGAAACGTCATTGTAGAAAATTAATAATTTAATCCATTATCGTACAACTGTTAAAAATAGCAGATTTTGCTTTCTTTAAAAAAGAAACATCAGAATTTTGGCTATAGTCATGTAGGCCTGCTTTTGATACTAAAAGTTTTTCCAATGCATCATCATTCATATTAGATCTAAATTTATTATTATATTAGGAGCTGTATTTATTAGGAGTTGCATGTTAGCCTCGGAAGAGGAAGGTAGTATATTGTACTATGCGGTAGGAGCGACGTACTGCTCTGAGTAACTATTATATTATTAGCTTTGAATCATATATTTAATAAATCTTTGTTTCGTCTTGCTATCTGGTGCCTTGTTAAACCACGAAGTCATCACAACACGCTCTCTTACGAGAACCAGAGAGGTTAGAAGCTTAGAGCGTTGAAAACGGAAAGAGGAGTAAAGTTAAGCCTAAGTCCACTGAAAGAAGTGCGCATTTTGCAAAAGGGAGTAAAAACGTGAGAATTATTTAATCGAGAGTTTGAAAAAGCTTGATTCTAAAGGAAAATAGAAAGAAAATGTTCAAAAACGCAAAGAAAGAGGATTTAGTAACAGTTCTATTGGAAATTGGTGAGACAGAAGCATCTCCAGATTTGAAGCTGGTAGAACTGAAACACAAACTCCAGAATAGCAAGGAATACATCGAAGATGCTGATTTCGTCAAAGAAATTCTGATTACTACAGTGGAGAATAAAAAGAAAGAAAAAAGAAATGGAAAGAATGCAAATGGAAAGAAGAAAGAATAAGAACAGAAAGAGAACACGAAATAGAACTAGCGAAAATTCGAGCAACTCAAAATGAAGGAAGTAGACGTCTAACACCTTTAATCCTAAACACAGAACGAGAAACCGAAATTTCCCTGGACAAGCTGATCAAAGGAGTAAGAAACACTGACTATACCAGTACCGAAGAGAGCAGAAGAATGGAATACATTTTTCGATTCTATCGAAAGAGCATTAAGCACAAGAAGGTTCCCGAAGAAGAATACAAATCAGGAAATATTATTGAAATTAATTGGAGAAGAAAAGCTTCAAATGTTCTTGTTTATATAAAGGAGGAAGATCTGCAAAATTACGAAAAAGTGAAAGCTCTTTGTTCTGAAGGAATACTCAACCTACTCCTCAAACCTGTTTAGAAAACTTCAGAAGAACTAAACGTTATTCCGGCGAAACGCATATCAAGTTCGCTTCAAGACTAACAACTACATGCGGGCTATTACTGCAAGTCAAGAGAAGTAAAGGATTTCAAGGAACACTAATTATTTCGGATAAATTATTCCAAGCTTTAGATGAAGAAACAGCTGCACACGTCGCAATACGCCAAGGAAATAAATGGCCTTGAAGCCTCAAGAATTAGCTACAGAATGTGATATTTATTTCACGGCCAAAGGAAAATCTTTCGACGAAGTTTCGAAATGGAATTAAGCTATCACCGAGATTCCTGGATACAACATGTGCACACGACAAATATATTCCACCACCCATGAGAAAAGAATATCCAAAACACGAAAGATCTCAAGCGAGAAGAAAAGAATGTTATATTTGTGGAAACTATCAACACATCGCAAGAAATTGCCCAGACAAAAGAAGAAAGAACGAAAACTGCAGTAAATAAGAACGGAAAGGATGATTCCAAAACTCAAAAAATTCAAACAGAACATCAAAAAGAAGAAGCCATCGTAGCTAAGTAGATTCATCCCATCTACGATCCGAATTCACAGAACGCATCGTTCAACCACTGCAAAAAGTAGATATTTTATTAACTCTGAGAAAATCGAAGCTATTGTAGACTCTGGAACACAGATAACGATCGTACATTCATCGCTCATTCCAAATTTAGGAGAGAGAAAGAGGTAAAATATTGCTAACACCCCTGCTTTCGGACAATCAATTGAAGCAAAAGTTTGCCGTGTACCTATTACCATAAAGATCATGGAAGCAATATATTTAATTTTGTGGATACATAATCGCAGTGACTGATAAGCTAATGTGCCTTGCCTAATAACTCCAGAAATACACCAACTGTTCGATCAGATCCAAACAATTATTGCTGGGGTAGCATGCAAAGCGCGCTGTTACCAGCTCTTGAAGAGATGCCTGAAGGCACATGACAGTAGTAAGTCTGATGTGGTAGGAGTTGTGAGAATGAGGTGATGTTGATTAATCCTGTGGCAGAAGAATCCAACGCAGAAAGAAATAATTACGGATGCGAAAACGCTGCGAAAATTTATTCGGCAATGCACAGTCAAACGACAGCGTCGACTTTCCACCCTGCTAATGCTTATGGAAGAAGAAAAACGAAGAGGAGGAAGGGGAGAAGGCGAGTGTTTGCGTAAACACAGACTTGTCGTCTGCTGAACGTCCTACGCGAAGAGCAAGCTAACTGTTCCGTCGCTGAGAGAAGCATGGAAGCTAGCTAATAGAAAAAAAAAAAGGAAATTATTTATTTATTGATCATCTTTTACATCACCAAGAAAAAATATTAGGACAGACTGCTTTTCAGTTAGTGCTTCCACTTAGCAGAAGAGCACAAGTGTTAGAATTAGCACATAGTTCCATTTTCGGTGCACATCTTGGAATAAGAAAAACAAAGGAGCGAATACGACATTCATTTTATTGGCCTGGATTAGCACAAGGTGTCGAAATCTTTTGTAAAACGTGCAAAGATTGTCAGTTGAAAAGTCCAGAAAAGCGATCTAACAAGATTCCCATCACACCGGTCAGAAGGCCAGGATTACCTTTCGAAACAGTTAACATCGACGTTATTGAACCTATTGAACCTATCTCTGCTAGGAAACATAAATATGTGTTATGTCTGGTAGATCAACATTCCCGATGGCCAGAAGCCATTCCACTGAGAAGTTTGACAGCAAAAAGCCATTGCGACGCGCTTTGGAAATTTCATGAGAACAGGAATCCCCTAATACAAGCTAGTGACAAGGGAAGTAAACTTTGTTTCAAAATTAACTAAAGAATTCCAGAAAAGACTAGGTTCTCTACACCTGCTTACAGTGCTTTCAAATGGATTAGTAGAAAGATGGAACAAGTTCTTCAAGCAAATGTTACATCATGTCATCAGGACTGATCCTTCGAATTGGGATAAGCACATCCCATACCTGCTCTTCGCTACAGAGAAGTAACCAAACTGCACCACGGGTGTCTCACCATTTCAGTTGGTGTATGGAAGACAAACAAGAGGTCCTTTAGCAGTACTGAAGTCTTGAGGAAAGGTCAGGAGAGGTATTTATACTACCTAATCTAAGTGAATCGGCAGTGGATTACTTACAGCATTTAAAAATAAGATTGGAACGAGCAGCTGAGCAAGCCAATTTAATTGCAAGTGACAAACAACAGTAATATGCTGAATATTTTAAACGGAGATCAATACAAAAAATTTCAAAATAGGGGATCAAGTATATTTACTCATCCCAGATTCAAATAACAAACTCTAATGCACGTTGGACTAGACATGGGGAAATTATGAATCATTGTCCACCTCATTCCTATAAAGTAAAACTACCTGATGGAAAGATCAAACATGTTCATGCAAATAAATTAGAAATTCCAAGCTAGTGTCAATGCAGTTGGAGTGATATTGAAAATGAAGAAGAATTTGGAGAAATTATATCTTTGCCAGGAAAAGATCTTCGACCCCCCTGGAAGATTTTAAAATAGATGCAAATCTGAATTAGAAAATTTGAATCCGCAGCAGAGAAGAAAATTGATAGCTCTTTATCAACAAACACCGCGCACTATTCACCGGAAGCTGAAAATAGCTAAAGTGAAGCTCATAAATTAATTATTAATTACCCAATATGGAGAGGAAGAAACTTACATTTTAGGCCTGAAGCATTGAAACCAAGGTCGATGAAGAAGTAGAAGAATTATGAAATCGGGACTATAGAAGAAAGTAATGCAGAATATACTCATCAAGTAGTTTGTGTAAGCAAAAAAGATGGAGATTCAGATTGTGCTTAGATTATCGAGCTTTGAATGCAGTGACGAAGCCAGAGACTTTCCTAGCAAAACACCATTGATTTAATGTAAGTATAGGAAGAGCCAACGTCATACAACTTTAGATTGCTGAAAGGATATTGGGCAATTCCCATGGAGGAACAAAGTAAAGAGTACACATCGTTCAAAAAACTCATCGAGGTCAATATCAGTTTAAAGTGCTACCCTTTGGATTAAGGAACGCAGCAGCAACTTTCAGAGAGTAATGAATAACGCGCTGAAGAATTCAACAATTTTCAAGAGCCTATTGACGACATAGCTATATTTTCCATGGATTTTGACACTCATCTCCAAATCTGGATAAGTTTTCACAAATTAGAGTCACTTGGATTTACTATCCTTCGAAGAAATGTCGTTTGCAAAATCTCAAATTAAATATTTAGGACACATTATTAATCAGGAAAACATCAACCAGATCCCGAGAAAATAGAGACAATTCAAAAGCTGGAAACGCTGAAAACAAAAAGAGATCTTAAAAGTCTGTTAGAATTATGTAATTATTATCGCGATTATATCCGAGGGTATGCAGAGATCGCCTACCCACTAACAGAAATCACGAAAAATAAACAACCGGAAAATACTCGAATGGAAAGAAATTCCTGAGTCAACATTTCAACAACTGAAGGAACGATTAGCCATGTCAACGGAGTTGATCACCCCAACACTACATACAGGATCCGTTTGTCATTCATTCTGATGCATCCCAAATCGGAATAGGTGCATGTTTATCACAGCAAAGTGGAGAGAAGCAATTTCCAATTTGCCTACGCGAGCAAGAAATATAGAAACCTCACAGAGCTGGCCGACTATAGAGCGTGAAGCTTTATGCTATAGTATGGGCATTGAAAGTTGAACCTTGGATATCGGTTCATCCGTTAAAAATTGTGACTGATCATAATCCCTAGCCTTTATAGTAAGAAATGCTCCGCAATCGTCCAAATTACAACGATGGGCCATAGCTTTGCAGAAATATAATCTTGAAAAGAGCATTGCCCTGGAAAAAATCTGTCAAACGTGGAGGCATTATCACGACTTCCCACTTGTGAACTTTGACATTAATTTACTGTTCATCTTCATGAACATTTTGTATAGTTAATGATTAGATAGTTGCTTTATAATCATTTACAATTTGTGCAATAAGATATTTATGTAATTTGAAATAGAGAAATTATTGGATAACAAAATTCGAGGTAAGTGGTAAATTTAGATATTGTCTCCCAAGGATTTAAATCATGCTGCAGCATCATTAATTAAAAAGAATGTTAAGAATATAATTATATATATATATATTATATATATATATAAGAAACTTAATAATTTTACTGTCATCATTGGAATAATACTAAGGTATATTTTAACATGTTTATAAAAGAAAATATCAACTTGGTTCTTTGAATTAAGAATTGATAAATTGTTACATAATAATAAGGTTCGGAACAAGTGAAGTTAAAAAATGAGTTATCTATGTTTATATATAAAAATCTGTAATGTATGTTTATATATGTTTATGTAGTAAATTGAGGTGCAATTGTAGGTATATTGCAAATGTCTATAGTAATTGAGACTTGAAAAATTAGGATAGAATGTATAAAAGTATATGTAGTTTTTTTTTCTTTTTCACGTTGATCGCAAACAGTTGCTTGATTTTAGTTTCCAGATTGCTGATTGATTTGTAAATAATATCAACAACAATCTTACGACGGGGGTGTGATATCTGGCGACTGTTTGGCAATCAACAGAGCGTGCTTGGCGCAGGTAGCTCTTTTCCGAGAAGGGTTAATGTATTTATTAGGAGTTGCATGTTAGCCTTGGAAGAGGAAGGTAGTATATTGTACTATGCGGTAGGAGCGATGTACTGCTCTGATTAACTATTATATTATGCTTTGAATCATATATTTAATAAATGTTTGTTTCGTCTTGCTAAATGGTGCCTTGTTAAACCACGAAGTCATCACAGTAAGGTCCGGTTACAGAGCTGGTGTGGCATAATTTTTAGAATTTAGTGACACACCGAGCAACAAAATCTAAATGGCAAAACTTTTAGAATTTAGAACAGACATTGGAAACAGAATTTAGAAAAGCACCAAGCAGCAGAATTTAGGATCCACAGAGATTGCATCAGGTGGGAAAATGCCTAGTGCCAGCCCTGTGTTATGATGCATTAAGACATATTACATGAATCTTTTTAAATTGTCAGTTTTCAATTTCTTTATTAATAAAAAAACTTTTTTTCTATAATGCCTGTCCATATCATATATTTTTATATTTTCCATGCTTGTGTCTAGTGAAAAGTAGAGAAAATAAAGAAAAGATAAACATTTTAAGAAAAAGCTTCTAGTATCAAAAGTAAAGCATTCAAATATTATGTTTTCATTGCTTTTTCAGATATTCTCCAAAAAGTAAGAAATTACGTGTTAATACCATAGAGACATTTTCCATTTTGTCACATTTTCCTGGAATCTGCTAGAATCATGGGTCTATAAATCTTTCTAAATTTCCAAGCTGCAAAGTCTAAAATCCTACAGAAAAATTACCCCTACCAATTCTGTAACAGCAAAAAAGGCAGAAATATTTTTTTGGGGGGGGGGAATCGGAGGAAAAAAGTGTAAAGTTAATTTTATAGAGAAAACTGATGCATATTCTGAAACAACTACATGGGAAAACTCTTACCATGAAAAAATTAAAAAGACATTTTTATTAATTTACATAGCTATTTTGTTATTGCTAAGAACTGTTTCGTAAATTGCACTGTTATAGCATTATACCTTGCTTATTTTTCAGATTCAAAATATTGTATAACAAGTGGCCAAAATGGAATTCATAATATGATAGCGAAACATAAAAATGCTTTAATTTTTTTAATAAAATTACAATACAATACAATTATTTTAATGAAATTTAATCAATGTTATAATGTTCTAAAACAGAATCGTCGAAAAATTCCCAGATCTCGGAATTAAAAATTTTCTATGGAAACTGATCTTAAAATCACCAAAATGTTGATATGCCACCAAATTTAGAATCATTTAATAAAAGAATTTACATCCCCAAAAGAAAAAGTTGTTAAAGAGCCCTTTTAGAAAAAATGAAATAATTTCAAAATGCTTATGTTTGACTTCTTGCTCAGAAACTCGATTCCACCACATTTATATTAGAAATAGGAACAAATTAAAACTCATGAATGCATTTAGCCATTCAAAAGATAACCATATTTGTCAACGAATCGCCAAAAATTGTCCTCCAAAATGCTAATTCACACTCAAAATGACAGTTGTAAATACAAACAGAAATTTCAGACGATTAAAATTAACGTTCAAAAATTGATTCAAAAAAGCTTAAGGACTTTTAAGGACCGGATGAACCCTGGAATAACAATAGAGAAAAATCACAGAAAAATGTCAGCAAATTACATAGAACTGAAAATATTATTTCAATGGATTTCTATTTCAAAAACTGCAAAATACAAATCAGAACACATCAAGTTACATTTTTACCTGATCCATCATTTATAACCACATCAGGTTGAACCATATGCAACTTTTCTTTTATAACCTATAAAGAGTCATCAATCAAAATAAATCACGATTCTGATAAAAAGCATAATGTTTTAAATATAAAATTATTATTTATTTGCCACAAAGAAATACTGATAATTTACATATATATTTTTCTATGGTTCATTTATATGCATGTTTGATGAAAAGTTGAGTCTGATAAGAAATATACAAGGCTGTTGAATACAATTCTTTGTTAAGTAAAAATATATTCTAAACTGCTACAAGACAAATGCCTGTTCTTTAGTAATTACAAGCTTACTTTTTACATACTAACAGCTATACAAATGGAGTAAAAAAGACAAAGAGTAAAGTACATGTTAGCAAAACAGAAAGAGTATTTATTTATCCTTTGGGATACAGAGAAGTGATATGTTTACGGGTCTAAATTACTTTCTGGGTTAAATTACAGTTGGATAAGGGCTGAATTTTTTTATTGCTCAGCATGTATCATTGCTTTTAATCAACCCTCTGATTATTAATTAAAAATTTATTTAATGTTTATAACGCAGGTTGTTCTGTCAAAACAGTGACAGTCTCCTACCAGAGACAGCAGGTATTAAAGAGGAACAATAATTGCCGTAGAAAATATAAGAACACATTTAGTAATAATAAAAGTAAGGCAGGTTTTGATGTCAAGAAGAAATGGAAGGCAGCAGTTGATTGATTGCTGATTTTATTCATAGCTGACTTATTATTGACTGGCATTAGCAATGCCACAAAATATACATACTGAGGCAGGAATAGATGCTGCAGGTGACAAGAAGCAGCACCACTCTGGTGGTAGTCGCACGGAATAATTACCTGCCCATTTCATTCGGGAATGACAACTTCTTATACTACTGGAAAAGACTTAAAATTCTACTCATACATTTCACAGCTTGCTTGCTCTGACAACTTTCTCTTCTTCACATAATGAAATTTTCTGATAGTAACAGAATGCGATGCAATGTGACTAACACATACACACGCGGGAAGGGAGGGGGGGGGGAAACTATTTTTCAAACTTCAGTGTGTAAAGTTTTTATCCAACTTTAAATCATACCCATGTTTTTATGAAAACTATTCTAAACTGGAGGTTTTGTAAATTTGTTCCTGTTTTGAAACAGTTTTAATTCAAAAAAAGGAAGGGAGAGAATATAAGAATTACAATCAAGAATGCATTCATTCACATTTTGCAAAATATAAAAGTTAAAATCGATTTTGTAATGCAAGTGAAATACACCTATTCCTCAATTTACACGGTTTCAAAAATTAATGGATTTCAAAAACTTGGTAAAAATGCATATTCGGCTGCATATACGCAAATACATACATTTGAAGTCATTTTTTAATCTCATTCCTTTGGTAACACTGATGGCAACAACAAGGATGGAAATTCCCCGTGTTGTAAAAAGGGAATCTTTGTAGTAAGTATATGTATTTCACAAGAGTAAAGCTGTTTGATTCACATGAACTACTGCAGTATCAGTATTTTAGCAGGAAAGCTTACATCATTTTTATCTACATATTTGAATGTTTACTGGTAAATTTTCAACATTTATATTTTTTGTGGAATTTCTTATAATTTACATAATTTTTTTAAGATTTTAATATGTCAAAAGATTTTGGGGGAAAAAATCAAATAAAAAGAAAAGTTATTTCTTTAGAAACAAAAATTAAAGTATTAGACCCTCTATATAATAGAGAAAGAGTAACAGATGTTGCTAAATTTTACTCCGCAAATGAAGCTACAATAAGGGCAATTATAAAAAAAATTAAGTATATTAGAGAAAATGTATAGCAACTGGAACTTGCAGCAGTAAGAGGACAATTTCATATGTAAGAGAGGATACGATGGAAAAGGCCTTAGTGATATGGATGGAAGACCAAATCAAAAATGGATTCCAATTGATACTGATGCTATTAGAAACAAGGCTTTAAAAATTTATAAAGCACTTAAGAATCGGTCACTATCGACTTTGTCACATGAAAAAAAGGTATCTTTTTCCACAAGTCATGGTTAGTTTGAGAGATTTAATAATATTTAAACAAAGGCATTCTTTACATAATCTAAGATTGAAAGGAGAAAGTGCATCTGCTGATTCGAATGTAACAACAATATCCAGCAAAATTTGCTGAAATCAATTGCCACGATCTCCTACATTTCTGATCAGATCTTCAATGATGATGAGTCCGGGTTCTTCTGGAAAAAATGCCTGAAAGAACCTTCTTAGCTAAAACTCGCAAATCAGATAGTGGTCATAAGGTAGTGAAAAGTCATACAATTTTTTTCTGTTGCAATGCTTCAGGCAATTATATAATGAAACCATTGGTTATTAACAAATCAAAAACACCATGTTCATTTAAAGGAACAAATATAAATAACCTTCCCTTTTATTGGATGCCTAACAGGAAAGCACGGGTCACTGCCATAAGGTTCAATGAATGATTTCTTACCATGTTTGTCCCAGATGTCAAAAATTATTTAGGTAAAAAAGGATTGCCTTTTAAGACTCTTCTTTTAATAGATAATGCACCTGGTCATCTTCAAAATTTACAACACAAAAAAGTAGAAATAGTCTTTTTGCCCAAAAAATACAACTTCTTTATTACAGCCATTGAATCAAGTAATATTTTCTGGCTTTTACAACATTGTGTATATCAAACAAACCTTTAGGTATATTTTAGAAAAAATGGAGAATAATGAATCTTACTCTTATGGATGCTTGGAAGAAATTTACAATCTTAGATTGTGTTGGACTGTCATATACTCAGATTAAACAATCAATGCTCAACGCATGCTGGAAAGCAATACGCTGGATGTTGCTAAAGATGAGAATGATAGATTACCATTAGAGTGTGAATATTCTCAGATCACTAAATTGGCTCAAACTGTAGTAGGAGAAGGTTTTGAGGATTTAGCTCAAGCATATATTAAAGGAATAATGGTTGATGAAGAACTAAATGAGGATGAGTTAGTTAACATGATTCATGAAACAAATAAACATGATGAAGACCAATCTGAACCAGCTGCATTCACAGCTAAAGTCATCAGTGTAGGACTTGAATTGGGAAGAAAATTAGGTAATCATTTTTTACAATATGACACAAATGTCGAATGAAATCTCCGATTCCAAGGGGAGCTTAGTAAGTGTTTAAATCTATATACGGATGTTTAAAAAGATTTAGGGGGACAAAAAAACAACAGGCAATTGTTAATTATGGATTTCATCATGAAGTCTAGTCGATGTGAGATCTCCCCTAATTTATCATCTATTGAAGCAGAATCGTATCACGAATACTCAAGTGATGAAAGAGACATCATACCAATCAAGAAGAAAAAACTAATAATTCATGAAATGATGACATGATACACTTATATTTACTTTAAGATGTCTTACTTTTGTTTTATGTAAATAAATAACTAAATTATGCACATTTAGTGTTTTTCGCTTTACATAGTTAAATCTGAGATTTCAATTTACACAATTTTGTGCGGAACTTCTTTTCCGTGTAAATCGAGGGATAGGTATAATCTCAAAGGTCGGATAACTATTGATAATAAAGAAAAGGCAATGATTCTCAATCTTAAATATCATTATTGTGAAATTTACTTCAAACGGATTTTTAAAATGCAAGTATGTGCTTTCTTTCTAGATTTCACAAAAATAAATAAAAACAGAAACTCCATATTCTGGGCTCACAAACCTTTTCCTCTAAAGTCTTTACTGTGAGGGTCTGCACATTCAATTTGATAGAGACCTGGAAAAAAAAAAAAAACTTTTATTAGAAACATAATTTTATTAAAAACATAAGTATTTTCATGCAACATGCTGCTGAGAACTGATCAGTATAGACCAAAAAGTAAGAAATTTAGAACCCATTTTACACAAAGATCCCTCAAAAGTGAAATTCAATACCAGTAAATGTCAATATATTCTATAAATATCCAAATAAGAATTAGAGAAATGTGAAATTAAAGCCTAAAAATTTAAACACCTAAAAAAATATACAAATAACAGAAAAAAATCTGATGTAACATAATGAAGAGGAGGAGACAACAGACTCAATTACAATCCCTCTTCCATTTGAAAACCTTTGCATTTCTGTATTCGAAATTAGCTGTTGAACTGTTTTTAATATGAAATGTAATAATTAAGTGAAGCATTGAAGTGTTGATTATAGTTAATTTATCTTTAGAATTTCATTTGCTTGTGACCATGGATGAATCAAATATAGATAATTTTTATCACAGCAGAACTCGAACCTACATTTCTTTACTGGAAGAAACCTAATTGACAAAGCCCTGCAATATATTTCCATAAATCATGTCATCCATTTTAGATAGATTTATCAGAAGTAATGCATTCTGTGATTTTTTTGTGGCTATACAGAATGATATAATGGCTGCATGAGGTATGGGTAGAATGTTATGCAAAAATAACTATTGCACATTCTGAGAGTGCAGAAAAGTGAGGTAGAATTTAAATTAACAGACATTAAGAAATAATTAATGAGGCAGTGTTAAACTCGAATATTGGAAGAACAAATCAAAAGCTTTACAATGATTGGCAAAGGAAGGACTTTAAAACTTGGACAAAGTACTTAAAATAAAACATTCGTTGTCTTGCGCCTCACAAGAAAAAGTGGCTAAGTTCTGCCCAAAACTCAAAGGGCCATTCATTATACAAAGAATTTGTGGTACTATATTTTACTTATAAGGAAATAATGGAGATAATATTACTGTAAACGTGAATCAAGAGAAAAAAATATTATGACAGAGCTGATAAACAAATGCTCAAAAATATTTTGCTAGAATCAACTTCTGGCAAAGTGGAAGCACAATGGCAAAGACATTCACATCAAAGATGGTGATTCCAGAAAAGAAAAGAAAGGCCAGAGTGGGGGAACTGAAGTCAAAAGACGCAGGCATGAGAATCTCAAAGGGAACAGCATGAACGAGCTGGGGCAAGCACGAAAGACGATGAGAAACAGAAGCAGAAGGGAATCCATCTACAAGATATAGTGAGTGGGTGAGACACAAATAAATTAAACAAGGAACCAGTGATCTGGATTGCAAGAGCAGGATGACAGGATAGCATCGCCTGGACTGTAAGAGCAGATTGCACAACAGAAGTGGCCATTGGAGGTACAATTTCTGGCACAAGTATTTAAAAAGCAGAGGAACCCTCCGATAAACTAGTGCAGCAACTCACGCACTGAACAAGAAACGTCGACGGCCAGAAACTACAAGCTCGAGTCAATGCCAAAAGAAGGTGGCACGGGAAAAAAAGAAAAGAGCAGCAAATCAACAAACTTCCCTCCTGGGAGCAGTTCCTACAAGAAAAGGATGACTGACTTTGAAAAACCAAAGATAAGTAGAAATTACTCTTTTTAAGTTTTATTTCAATTCTAGGTCTGAAAGTGTGACTGAAAATTTTTTTAGTTGTTGCTTCCATAGAGGACAATTTTATTTTTGTATTGAGCAAGATACTTTAATCATTTCTAGCAGTATATTTTAAAGTTAAAATAAGAATGAGATGTTTACTTTTTAGTCTCAGAGACCGAGTTTAGGAAATGTTTGCATGTTTTAACTAAGTGAAGAAACTTTGATACTCTTTACAGTAGAAAATTTTGTTGAATACAAATGATTTCAAATTGTTTTCAGTACAGTATATTACAATATAATTATAAAAGTTCTGTGAAATTTACGTTAAAAGTATTTTTATATGCTTGTAATCAGAAATAAATGTGTACGGATGAAAGAGTTAAAGCCAAGCTAGTAGTACAGTTTATGTTAAATGCAAGAACTAGTTTGAGAATGTATGAAAATTAAAGTTAGGCTCTCCAGCTAATACTAAGTTAACTTTTCACTAAAATTAGCACCTTGGGGATCAGAATCGCATGCAGGGTATATTTTTGAGGTCTTGCATGTCTAAATTCTAACAAGTAGTGTGTCAGTTAGGCGGAAGTGTGGAACACATGCTCTCATATCAGCACACTTGCTGGAGAGCAGGGGGGAGATTTAAAATTCAGAAAGAATGTGATGAGCAAAAGCTCCCTTACGTAATATTGTATGAAAATAAATCTAATTGTTTAAAACCTGCAATGAATGCAACCATGTTAAATGTATGAGACTTTTGAAGACGATAGTTAAATTCTGGTGGGGAAAGGTGTACGATTTTATTTTTACTAGTTATTTTAATTTGTGAGCTGTGACGTTGTGGATACTTCAGTGGGAATGGAATCAACACTGATAGTGGTGATGCATCACTTTTTAATTACACAACATATCACAAATACAACATTAATACATTTAGAAAACTTTAGTAGATATCCGATCTGGTGACACGATCAGAGACGTTAACGAAGATGGTACTCGTCATCACTCGACAAACAAAGTCACCACACCTCAGCTCGCTGGCAGAGCTTCCCAGAACTCTCTCCTCTCTCACAGGCGTCTCAACAGAACTCTAATCTCTATACGCATGCGTATTCCTCAGTTAAGTCGTTGCCATTCACAGTTCTTTAAAATAGGCGTTAAAATGAATTACAGTACTCGTAATGTGAGGAGTTGTCTAACGACGTTCTCTCTAGTCAAGAGCATCATAGGTCTTTCTAGTAGAGTTCAGGAGCGTTCTTTACAGCCTTTCTTGCATTCTCTTATTTGCCTCGCCAGGATGTAAAATGAGTTGGGGTGAACAAAAGTATTTAAACTGTTGCAGCAAAAAATTTAAGCAGAGTCTGATTTTGCTATTGTAAGGACACGTTGCTATTTTGCATTCTTGACATTGAGTTATTCTGCTCTAGTAGGTTTCCTGTAAGCTTAAATTGAATTGTGCAGTCTTGCACTACTCTTTACCTTTGAATTTAGTGTTATATTATCTTTTAAGTTCTCACTGCAAATGATCAGTGTCTGTAAGCACATAAATCTGTGCCGTTGGATAATTATTTTGTTTTCAATAAAAGGGTCTTTTATACCCTTCCCCTGCTTGTGTTCATCTTCAAGCTCGTGCGAGAATTCGCAATGATTAACACTTAGATAGGTTTAGTTACATTTTATGATAGTCAAATGAACTAGACCTAAACTTATAAAAAAACCTAACCTTAGTTTGAAGTAGACTTTTCAGGACCCCACGCAAAAAAATTCTGCAACAATAATTTTGTACTTGAAGCGGAACCTGTATCTGATCACCCTCAAAATAGAAAATGATTATTCAAAATCTAAAAACTAAAGTTGCCTTTTCCTAATTTTAATTAGTCAACTAAAATTAAAACTAAGTTGTTTGGTGTCTTCTTAAAGAAATCTATAATAATAATTAAAAAAAATTAGAGCATTCTATAATATTTTGATCATATTAATTGAATTCTTAATCACAATAGCGATGCATTTTCCATGTTTTCATAGCCAAAGGTGGGAAATTCAATAACAATACCCAAATGATTACATTAAGCAGTGACTACTGCATGGGTAAAACTAGAAAACAACCCGTGTTGGTAGTCCTAGTGCTGCAGCAACGCTGAAACAAACTAAATATACATATATTATTTTTCAAATAAAGATTATTGCTTACATGAAAACAGAAATGTTCATTACTTAATAGTTAAGCTTGACACAATTAATGCCAGTTTATTAATCATTCATGCTCAGTTTCACAATACAGTAAATGAAATATTTAATTTTTCATTAAAAAATATCACTTTGAAATATATAAATACTGATATTTCCAAAACTTCCAGCTAGATTTCACAAAATAAATTTTTGCAAACAGGACAGAAACAATCTAATTCCATCAATCTGGCACAAATATGATATTGAGTAAGCATATTTTTAAAATTATTTACTTGGTTAACATCATGCCAAAAATATTCTCCGGTATCTTATTTGTAGCTTACAAATATAATATCTATTTTAAGATATATTTTATTATACTGGAAAAAGAAGAAAAGGTTTGAGAAAGAAAAAAAAAAAAAAAAAACTGCACTCATTTGTTTGACAGAATCTTACATTTATGAAAAAATTATTTGGAAAATACCTCTGGTGTTTTGGGTGAACAAACAAAACAATTGCTGTTGGGTTTCTCCAACTGAGCAGAAGATATTATTTTCTTGCTTGCAGAAAAACTTTCACTAATAAAAGCCTGCAAAAATGTGAATATTTGATAAAAGAACATACAAAAGAAAATGTATTACAATATATATTATACATATTCCATTTCCTAAAAAATAAATATCACTTTGTGCTATCAGTAAACGTCTAAAAATACACTCATGATTAATGAAATTAGCACACTAAAAAGGAGGCAATAAATACAAGTGAAATTTACTAAAATAAACATGCTCTCAAAAATACCGCAGTACAGAAACTGGCAAAGAACTTGTGGGCCTTACTTCAGTCCTTTTCAAGGGTATATTGCACCGCCATATGCTGCAATGCAGTCTGCAACATAGTATTGAGTCCACATGTATGATATTGCGTTGTCAAAAGGCAAGCTTGAGGGACTTATGCTTGTTGCACAGGGGATTATGCTGCAATGCAGTCTGCAACATAGTATTGAGTCCAACACATGTCAAAAGGCAAGCTTGAGACAGATGGACCCATGCTTGTTGCACAGGGGATTCAAATTATTGGATATTGTAGTATGATATCAAGGGTATATTGCACCACCACATGCTGCAAGGCAGTCTGCAACATAGTATTGAGTCCAACACATGTATGATAATGCCTTGTCAGAAGACAAGCTTGAGACAGATGGTCCAGTTTTATAATATTTACATTACCGTTAAAAATAAACATTAGTGAGACTACAAAAAAAAAAAAAAAAAAAAAATTCACATGGAACTAATTAATTTACAATATGATATAAATTTTATTCAAAGATTTGAAGATTCAGATTTGATTAACTTTCTTGGGGGGAGGGGAGGGGGTTATTTTTCAAAAGATAAAATACTCTCAGTTACAAATTTTTGCAGTTAGAATAATAATTTTATTTAGAGTATGTTTATATGTATAGTTTTTTCCTGCAGCTGAAAATTAGTGTCCAAGGGGAAAGACTAGCTTGACAGATGAACATCTACAATTTGTGAGAGTTTCTAACAATTTTTCTTCAAGGTTACAAACTTTAACAGAAACTGAATGCCTTGCTAAACAGGGTTGTTACCCACATGTATAACTGAATTTTCTAGAACACAATGTAATGGTTTAATTGGTACATTTTACTTTTAAGTGTTTTGAAGAATTTCAAGACCCACTACAAAACAAACCTTTTTCTTTTGTTGCTCCCTTAAATGGGAAAGAATGGTCACGCTTGATTTAAAACTTATGTTGTTTTGTAAATGTATTGCCCTCCCCCCCCCAAATGTGAAAGGTTAGTGTTTCCCCAATTTCAAAAGGACCGAGAACCAAGACTCTTCAAGCATTCTCAAAAAGTGTTCCTTCTTTAAATCTAGCTAATAGGAAGTAGAAGTACAAAAGTACAACTTCTGCATCACATCTATTAACATTTCCACATTCAGATTGTAGAATGACTAAACAGGCAAGGTGCAACCTTTCTGCTAGATAGAAACTCAAGTTTTGAAATTGAACAACTGGAAGAAGCATTTAAAAAATCTCCTGTGTGCTTAACTTGCAGCATGTTGCAAATGCTTAAGCAAAAGGATTTAAGCCTCGAAGAAACGGATAAATTATTAAATGATTTTGTTGCTCTTGGTAAGTACAGTTAGAGATGACCCATATTTAAACTGAGAATTTCCCAAACAATTTACTGAAAGAAAGAACTATAATTGATAAAGAAATGATAAAAAATGTTTCAAGAAGCAAAAATGGATTGAAAATCAAGAAATTTGAAACTGCTCTTGTAGAATGTTTTCAAGCTATGAAACTACACAATAGTCCCATTTCTAGAGATCTTGCTGGAAAAGCATAAAATTCACTGCTAGGTGAGAATGTTGCATCAACTGACAGAAGATTGGAAAGATATAAATAACATTTTTCATCAGAAACTGCATGGTATGAAGGAACAGGCACATCATCGTGCAGTTGATGACTGGATAAAAGATGTTTTACCCAAGCTACTAAATGAATACAAGCCACACAAAATTTTTACCCACAAAACTTGACCGTGTTACAGAACATTATCAGGGCACACATTAATACTGAAAAGTGAAACCGCAGCTCTGTTAAGACATTGATGTAATGAGTTGCTGGGTTATTAAGGTGCTAATATAGAACCAATAATTAAGAAATCAGCACTGGTTACTGACACAGAAAACCTGGATGTTTGAAAAGGAGTCATGAATGAACATATTACTTTGTTGGATACACTGCTGTGTGAAGATAAAAATATTTTACTTCAGGCAGTGGCAATACACACACATAGATTTTTCATCATTTAATAGAAGGTTTTTTTTTTTTTAAATCAGACGGTGAACTGAAAAATGAAAAAACAGCTTAAAAATGTACAGCATACACAGCTTTAATCTCTGAAAAACATCAATGTTGCTTCCTGCAAATAGAGCTACTAAAATTCAGTTTTTAGACCAGGGTTTTATAGAAGCTTTCAAATGACATTAAGAAGATGATAAAGAAATGATAAACAGAACTGTAACTTATAAGACGATACTTCGAACTGAAATTGGAAATACAGAATTGAATCTTGTGAAAATAATTACCTGCATTTAAACAATCTTTGACATTTTTACCTTCAGTTAGACACTTTTTCCTTTTCAGATTTAACATATCAAAAATATCTTTCTTTGAAACGGAATATCCTTGATTTTTACACAGCTTTACAATTTGTTGATAATATTTTCTCCCGGAAAATGCATTTATGTAACCTTCGAGCCATCTATCAATTTGAGAAGTTATTTCAAAAATAAATTTCTCATTCTCCATTTCAAGAATAAAACCATAGCAGATGATTATAATGAAAATGTCTAATCTGTACCTCAAAATGCTAAAGAGAAAAAAAAAAAAAAAAACATTTCTATAAAGAACAAATGACTTTCTTTACTGCAGTTTTAAAATCGTCATGAAAATATAAAATTCTTATTTTCAACTAAAGATTAAAAAGAAATAATCTACTTTCAGATGAAATAAAAGTTACTAGATTTGGAGATTTATTGGAAGACCTAAAGATGTGATAAATAGAATAGTTTGATTCTCTCAATTTTAATGTGATTTTTGGATAGCTATGTTCATGGATAATTCTAATTTCCGCCATAAAAAATAAATATATGAGATGATTTAGTCCATATCTAATAAATTATAAATTATTAAAAGCTAGATGTAATCTCAGTGTGTTCGATTTTGTGTTATGTTAAAAAACTTAAATATTTTAAGAAGTTTCATCATAGTTCAGTAATTTTTTTTTTTTTTTTTTAGTTTTATAATTCATCTTATCCTACTGGCTTTTACACTATGTGAGAAATATGGAAAATTGCAATTCTTATTTTAAAATTAAGGTCTTATTCTTCACTAAACATTAAATTAATCAAAATTACTTTTTATTGATTTACTTCTATGAAAATCAACTGGCAATAATTAACACGAATGGAAATTAGAAGAAAATGGTATTATAGCTAAAGGGGAAAAAGTTACTATATCAAAGAAATTTAAAATTTGTCAAAGGAATATATTTCTCTGAATGCAGAGCAAGAGAAACAGTTATTATGTATTTATGTTTATAAATAACAACATTAATTAAAAAAGCAATACTAATATATATATGAAAAATTTCTTTTAACTCAAGTACTTTAAAACATAAAACTTTTAAAACATAAAAAATTTATTTTTGAATATTTCTAAATTCTAATACATAGCTTTTACCAACATGAAATACCTTGTTAATAGAAGGAAATGATTTTCAGATTTCCAAAGATTACTTACTGTTCGGCACTTAGAAATGTCTCCTTTTAAAACTTTCATTACTTGCAGAACAATTAAGCCAGCAACGACTGCATTGGTTGTAGCTATGGCAGGAACAATATTACCAGCAATAGCTGAAAAGGGGAATGAGAATAATACATGCATACACAATATAATGGCTAAAAGTGTAGTAAGACTTCGATAAACTAAAACTGAAAATACTAGAAGGGAAGACTGATTAAAATTAGACTTTTGAATAAAGTTAAGAGCAATATAAAAGTCTCTTTTCTGACATTATAAAACTTTTTGACTTAATGAGCAGTAAATCCCACTGAACAATGATAAAGTTATCATACATATAATTAAGATTTGGTTCATTTTGTTCTTACCCTTAATGTCAAATTTGCTTTGTTGTGGTATATGGAAGCAATATGCACGTAAATTTGAACATGATGCCACAAAATCCATACAATGTTCATCATCCTGTAAAAGAAAATTTTGATGAAATATATATAAACAAACATCAAATAACTAAAGAGTTGGAAAAACAAAATCAATATACTAAAAATTACTTTTACTATAACAGACACACTGAAACTTCAATATTTATTATCATTAAGCATGTATGTACACGATTAATTGGTTCATCTGCTAAAGATTAGAATATTATTATTTGATTTATTGATTGATTTAACGACTCCGAATTATCATTTGGAAGAACTTGTGAAGTGCCAAATCACCTGCCATTTTGAAGGAGGGAAGACAATCATGGAAAAGTCAGATGTGTGAATATTTCAATGCAGACAATGAGAAACATCAGAACTCTGTAACTGTTGTAAAGAGAATTTTTCAACAAAGTCAGAAACAAATAATAACTGCTTCTTAAGATCCATATTTGGGAAAAACTGCCCATCACAACAAGTCTACTGCTTGGCAGTTAAGTTCAGATCTTGCAGCCATCACTGGAATTGTCGTTATCACAGCAAACTGTACACAGAAGGCTTAATGAGAAAAGTTTTTATTCCAAAAAGCCAAGAAGAACATGTATTTCACAGTCTTCCTTTAATAAGTACATATATGTGTGATGTAACAGCTTTTGTCCAGAATAAATAGATCGTTGAAGAAATATAGATTAAGTCATAGCTTAAATTATCAGACGATAAGTTTAAAAAACAGGATCCATTTATTATTATTCAGGAGAAATAGCAGTTACAAAATCAGATATCCGGAGTAAATAAAAAAGAACTACTAATAACTTTTTGTATGAAGTTTACTGCGTCGTGACATTTAACCCTGCACTGTCCCACAGACGCCAGGGATGTTTCTTTTTTAATTGTTTTATAAACGGAAGCGCGTGCAAGCTTGTGCTGCCGTCTACCTTTCTGTCAACTATGCACAAATAAGTAGAAATCATCGAAACAACACTATTTTTATTTTAGTGCTGAGAGAAAGAGGTTATATGCTGATGTGAACTACTGGAGTCTAGGAGACGCCACACGACCACCATTTTTGATTCTAAAGGTAAGTATTTTAAAATTTATATATTCTAGTATTTTTAATTTATATTATCAACAGCTGTCCCTAGTAGTGTTTTTTTTTTTTTTATTTTAGTAATAGGTGAAAGAAATTGTTTGTGAATATATTTAATTTTTAATGTAAAAGAATGTATTTCTTTTGGTATTTATAATTTTTATGGGTAACATTTGTTTTTATTATTCATTTTCTTACCTTTAGATTCAAGATGACTTCTCAGAAAAAATTCAATATGGCATATGAATGTGACAGAGAAATAGTACTACGTATGCCTGATGGAAGGAATATGAATTAGGTGATGAGTTTGATGATTATAGTGATGCAGAAGAAGATAGAATTGGAAACAAGACATCGAGCAATAAAAACTCCATTGAGCAAGAAAAACTCCAATGATAATGAGTTATATTGCTGATAATTATTTCCATAATTATTTCCAAGGCCGATCATAAATTAACAAAATCAAAAGTTTTCCCACCTAAAAATAAAAAATATACGCACTCGGCAACACAATAGTCAGATAGTCACATAATAGACAGTCACTCATTTACCAGGGGTGAAAGGTGTCGCAAAAAATGCTCGAAAGCCGGAGCAATGTTGGGCATAATTTTTTGACAATGGCATGCTATCTAATATAGTTCAAAAATGAAAAGATACCCACAGTACAGGAAAATTATTCTCGGGAAAGGGATGCCCATTTGACCGACATAATTGAAATAAAAGCGCTTCTAGGCGTATTACACATTTGTGCTTCTAGAAAGGACAATCATGCAAATACCAAGGAGATATGGTCCTCTGATAAAATGGGTGTTGAGTTATGCCATCTAATAATGTCTGAAAAACGATTTAGGTTCCTTTCATATTGTTTGAGGTTCGACAATAGCGATCTTTTGCTTCAAAATAATCTTACTTTGGTTGGGACTATGAGAAAGAATAAGAGTGAAATTCCTCCAGAGTTTAAACATGCAAAGAATCGGGAAGTAGGAACATCATTGTTTGGGTTCTAATGTCTTATGTAACTAAGGAAAACAAGGTGGTTCTGATTCTCTCCCCTATGCATCATGATGATGTAATTGATGAATCATGTGAAAAAAACAAGCCCAAATGATAACCTTTTATAACGCAACTAAATCAGGAGTTGATACTGTTGACCAGTTGTGTAGCACTTACAATGTCGTCAGGAAAACAAACAGATGCCCTATGATCATATTTTATAGTATGATAAATGCAGCAGCTATAAATGCTCAAATAATTTATCGTGCAAATAACTTATCAATCAGCATTAGGCGCAGTGAGTTTTTAAATCTTTTGGATAGCTTATGGTTCCTTGCGTAGATGTTCTCAATGTTCATCATTACCTAGAAACCTCAAGCAGGATATTCAGAGCATTTTCCCAGATGAGCGTACAGTTCAACTTACAATAGAGGCTTGAACTACTAAAAGGCAGAGATGTCATGAATGTGGCCATTTCAAGAACAGATACACCAAGTACAAATACCGCAGTTGTAAACATTTTTATGTTGAGAAAATGCTCAGCAAATATAAGTTGATTGCTAGTTTGTGCAACTAACTAAATGAGACAATTTTACTTGTATTTCTCATTTGTATTTGAGTTAAGTTGAATAAAATTAAGTCTCACTGTAAATTGAAGTTTTGTTATTTTTGTTTGTAATAGGATACCACAAATATATGTATGTTATTTCAATAACCCATCTGCATTCATAAATTTGAGTTGAATAACCAAATATATATTAGTACAGCAAAAATATGCCTGGTGTCTGTTAGACGTTGCGCGTCCTTTAACGTAACAATATGCCACGCGAGCACTGCAGGGTTAAGAAAAGCCCCCAATATTCCTTTGAGAGTCCTTTTATAGCCTCTGGAAAGGTGGAGCTTCAAAGAAATGACGTCAGCCAATCCAGTTTGCTTTAAATATTTCCAGAACATTCTATAACTGTACGTGTAGAAAAGGTGGGAAAAACAACTTGACTAAGGGGCTGTGGATTTAATTCCACGTACTTTTCAAATAAGAGAACGTCGTCATTAAAAATGAAAGAACATACAGTTAGAATTTTAAGTGTATTTTTTGACTATGGAATTTTATAATTACATATATATGCCAAAAAGCCAAGGGTATGTATTTCACTGTCTTCACTTTATATATATATATATATATAAAAAAGATAGATAGATAGAGAGAGATGACAATTACTTTGAATGACACAAAGGAAATCAGAACTGGAGTGAACACCAATGATCCCATATTTTCTCTAGTGATAAGTCCACGTTTAATTTATCATCTGATTCTAAATTACATACAATAGCTTACATCTGGCAAGAAAGGAACGCAAAATCTTCCTTTGAACATTTTAGAACATGAGTGTTTCGGTAATGCAAGTGGAATGATATAGTGAGGAATAAGGACTGACAGACATATGCCCCCAAAACATTTTCAACGGCTTATCTGTGACCAGCCACAGACATTAGGATGAGCTCTGAGAACCATATGTAAAACTTTTCAGAAGTATATATGGATAGGCAATAATAATACTCATCCACATACAGCAAACCTCACTGAAGAATTCCTTCAAAATGAAAACATTCAGTGAATATCATGGCCAGCAAAATCTGATTTAGAACTTTTGAAAAGAAACTGAACCGAGACATCCTCCTCCTAGATATGTAAATGCCTTGAAGACTGCATTGCTGGAAGAGTGAAACTTAAATTTCCCAAACAATGATACTGTCAGCATGAACACATAAGATATGTGTGCACAAGTAACAGAAGATCACATTCCTAGAGTTAATCCTTTTTTTTTCCCTACCACTCCTTGTAATGTATTATTATTTTTATTACTTCATCCAGTTTTGTATCATTTCTAGTGCTCTTAAATGTTTACCTTAGTATTTAGGTGTTATGATGTCCTGTATCATTCCATACAATTATAGTTCACAATTTCTAAGAAATCCATGATTTCATGCATGTAGAGATAATTTTGGACAATTGTATACATATAGAGTATGTTTAGTATTCAGATTATGAATCTGAAGAAGCAGCCAAGTCAGTCAGTGCTCAATTATATTCAGCCATCGTTGTGACACAATTTATGGCCTGTAAAGGAGTTGTAGCTCTCGAACATCCACTATACTCACCTAATCTTGCTCCAGCACCTGAAATAAGCCCTAAAAGAATTTTATTTTTTTGATATTTTATATGTTCAAAGCCATATGATAAATGATTCTTCATGAACCAAAAGAGGATTTTGCTTGGAATTTTCAGAAACTTTACAATTGTTGTCGAAAGTACACTGCAAATGATGCATATTATTTTGAATGAATATAAAACAATTTTTTTCTGATTTAGGTAAGAATATTTTGTTTATGAACATAGTCATGGTATTTTATTAACATACTTAGCAAGCTAATATCAAAATTAATCAGCAAAATACCAAAAATATTATTTATTATATCAATAGCCAACTAAAACTATTATGTTACTAAATCATTATTATTTCTTTTAAAATAATAATCAATATAATTGCAGCATAAAAATCTCAAATTAGACAGCAGACAGAAATCTGATTAAGATAATGAAAAGCTCTTAGTTACAATAATGGCAGCAAAACAGTCCGATTACACATATGATTATCCCTTATAAGTTAGTTTTTCTTTACAAGCTCTGCATGAAACATCAACCATTTTTCTCCCATAGTCTTCAAAGTTAATTATATATTTTGAATTATTACAGCTGAGTTTGCGTCCAAGAACAGCTCAATATTAAATAAATGAAAATTATATCGACGGCTATATGAAATTATATATATATATATATATATATAAAAGAATGGGAAACTAACACTGCATTTATTTTAAAATGAATTATGCATACAAATGGATTCTCCCGAACAATTTCATTAATTATAAGTTTAAAAAATAGGAATTGATTTCTAAAAGAACTAGCAATTTGTTTATTTTAAAGTGGTCAAGGGTTACTTGCCCAGATAAGAGATGCCTTTCTGAAAGACCTTTCTATGAGAAACTGGCACATCTTCATGTTAGACATAAGGAAAACCACTCATGCAGCCAGACCGCTCATTTGGAATTGAATCCAGGCTTAAATTGAATAATAGCATTCAGCGACTTCACCACTTGGTGAATTACAGGAACAAAAGAAGAGTTATTTTTTTTCCTCATTGAAATAAATTTAAATACAGGAAGGATTTGTTTGATCTTAAACTATTTTAATTTTAAAAAAGTCCTGTACATATCTAAAATTTCACTGTGATTTTCTCATTACAGAAAAATCACAGAAAGTATTAAAATACAAAAATTAAAATTTATGTATGAAAAAATGAGAAAAACATTCAACCTTATCCCAAGTTAAGACTTCATTTTCCCCAGCTTCTTCTGCCCTTTTTCTTAGAACAGTTAAACTGCTTTTAAATATTTCAGCACACTGTTTAGTACTCCATAACATCTGGTCTTTAATACGAGCATCTTCCTGTCTGCTGCTCCCCGGAACTGCAACACATTTTCAGGAATTAAAAGCTACTACAAATAAATTCAAAGTATTTACACCTACATTTGAATACCACTAACTGTACAAAATAAGTACTTCAGTACAAAGTCCAAAATCCAGAATCGTCGGGACTTCAGCAATTCTGGATATTAGATCATCAGTTTAAATCTAGTAAGATGGCATGTAGAAATTATAAAATTCAAAACATGAAATCGTGGTTTATGAAATAATGAAGTATTTATGATCTAAAGGGTATCAAAATTTACCCCCCAAAAAAAAGGGGGGGTGGACTTAATATTTATTTGTTTACCTTAAGTAAGTTGTTTAAGTTGCTCCGTTTCCCCCCTTAATGCTTTTTCTTTAATTCTGTAGACAGACAATCTCTTGTTCAGTTACATTGTTACAAGTCCTATAACTGCTGTTTCGAGACTTTCGACTAACTTGTCAATCGAAATTTTCTCGTTTTCGGTAATTTCTCTGTCACTTCCTTCACTATCGGTAGCAGTATTTTCTGGATCTAGAACCATGCTACAGATTTCGACATTCACTGATTGATGATTGAGAAGCATTGTCATCAGAATTAAAAGCTTCTTTTACATCATCTTCATTTATTACAGCTTCTCCACATTTCTTGACAAAATCCGTTAATTGGAAAATTTCACCTTTGTATTGCGATATCCAAAAAACCTTTAAAATTAGCGACTATCATCATCAAATTTAGCTATCCTTCACTATACATATATGGCTATCCATCATGAGCTTGGCGACTAACGACAAGTTGTTCCGTTAAATTTTATTTTGCTTCTATCGCGCACTGAGATAATTAGGCCTAAATTGTTTTAGTTTAGTTATTTATTATACTTATATCTATTTCTTGCACATGCTTAAGCCTTATTACTAATATAATCTTTGGGTCTCTGAGTATCATCAACAAAATCTACTTTTAGCAAATGGAAAGAAATTTTTGGTAAATTTTTCCTTGTGAACATTTTTTAGTGCTTTCCACTTTAATCTGCAATCATTGCCATGTGTAATGTCAACATTACTATACTCCTTTATTATTCAATTACTAACATAAAAAAAAAAAAAAAATGTTTAGGCATCACTACTGAGTCATTACTCAAGTTGTCATGTTTTGATAAACATGCAGTGATGAAAGGAAAGTATAATAAACAATGATTCGCGAAGTTGGCATCAGATCAACGATGTATCTATCTGGAATGTTTCGGTTTGAGATGTGGGCCAAAAAGCAGATATGCAGCAATGGCGCTAAATTACTGATAGTACAGTTTATGCTGAAATGTTTGTTTCTTCAATAACAAGGTATTTTATTTAGTGTTGATGTGAAATTATGAATGAGTACTCTCCAGATGTTTTATTATGCACGGAGAGAGGAATCAAATGCACATGTGTAAAACCTGGGAAGAAAAACGTAGGTGAAGTCCGGATTTTTAGATCATTCTGGATAATGGACATCCGGATTTCGGACTTTCTACTGTATCTGAAAAGGGTTCACTATGCAGACATATTTCACATTTATAAAAAAAATAAGATTGATTTTGCAATATCTAGGTAAAGAAATTTTAATTTTGATACAATCTCACAGAAAGTTGAAAGAGGAAAAACCAGGAGGTTTTCACATCATAGAAACAGAAATGTTTCACACAAATTCACACTGACCAAACCGATTTAAAATCATTTTACAACGAAAAATTCTTAAAGATTATTTACTAGTTACAGTATGATGTAAAATATAATAAATTATAATTTAAAATAAGCTATGCTTTTTTGATTAATTTAGTTCACATTTGTAGCTTTTTCAAAATTTCATACTGATGGAACCTGATTAGAAAGTAAAAATTCTACACATTTTTGTACACAATTCAGACAGAATAAAAATTTATCAGAGGGGGGGGGGAACTTAGCGCTAAATGTAAAAAATAATTTCATTAAGAGATAATGCATTGAATCAAATTTTTAAAAAAAATATTTATGCTAAAAAAACTCGTCTGAAAGTGAAAAAACTAAAAAAAATAGGATCATCAAAGGTTTCATTAAATTACAAAAAAAAATTACACAGTACATTCCAGGCGAATCTTTGGAATTCTTTCAAGGCACTATTAATATTTACAGTATTCTTGGAGACAGTTTTTAAAATTGGGTATTCAATTATTTATGGTTTGGTTTATTTAACTATGACAATGCACAAGAAGGCTATCCGCCTAAGGGTGAGGGATTTCTACACATGGAGAAAACCACGAAAATGGCTATGCAGTCAGCCCATTCACACCCAGGTTGGAACTATCAGTATTCAGTGATTTTACTGCTTGGCCGCTAGTGGGTCTTTGTTACTTATAAAATGTTATAAACTTGTTTTTGATTTATAAACTACCCTTTTTTAATATACTCAAGCAGTTAAACTACAATGAATTTAATTTTCATCAAGTATTTTTCGATTTTCATCTGAGAAATATAGTTTAATAGTTAAATAGTAATTTTATTAAAAATTAGATAAAAGGGAGAGAGTCATTTTCATTTTTATGAGGGGTGGAAAAATTAATACTAACCATACATTATTTTTTTTTTTAAAAAAGAGAAAAAAAAAAGTATATTTTAAAATGATTTTTGCTCAATTGTGTGTGAATAAAGGAGTTCCGCCATAGTTTTCCCCATGGAACACATCAGAATTTTAAAAAGGATTTGTTAAGATATATTCATTAAATGAATTTATAAAAATCTCTTTCATTATTATGAAAATCAAAATTAAAAATTACCTGCATCAGGCAAATCATTCCAATTTAATGCTTTTGGACGGCTTCGTTTCTTCCACAGGTCATTCATTTTATTGAGGTAGATGATGTCCTCTGAAAATAACTTTTTGACAAAAAATAAATAAATAAAATAATAATAATAAAAAAAAAAGAGGAGAGGTTATTTTTAGCAACAAAAATAATACAAGCATTAACTTAAATATAAGAAAATTACCTTAGTGAAAAGTTTCACAGGTCATAATTTGTTGATTTTGCCCATTCCCTTGTAGAAACTCTATTAACATTTCCCAATTCATTTGGTAAAGAAGAGCCATCTAAAACATACAACAAATATAAAAAGAACAATTGGAATCATTTCTTTAGTTGAAGTTATATACGATATCTAAAGCAAATTATTTAAAGTAAATATATATTTTAATTCCTTGAAAATATAAAAGTTAAAATTTAATAATGATCACAGGAATTTCAGAAGAAAATGACAACATATGCAGTCCTGACGATGTTGACACAAACTCAAAACTTTCTCCTGTTTAGTACAGAATACATATTCAGTGGATAAATATATTTTCCAACTTAAAGTAGCATTCTTTATTTAAAACTGAAAATGTAAAAAAGAAGCCTGCAAAGAAGTACTACCAGAGAGTGTTTAACAGGGTTCGTACACATTTCTGCACATGGAAATTAAGTACTTTTAAGAACCATTAAAAATTAAGCACCTATGGAGCAAATGGGAACTCAATAAATTCAATTAAAAATAATATCTATGCCTGAATTTCAGTTCTGTAATATCATCCTAAAAATAAAGGAGATCCTTAAGTAGTATGCATTATTACTAAACATGAATTAATTAGCATAATCATTAATAAGTTTGAGAATAAAATAAACTTTATGCAATTTATCAAGTAACATTAGATATTTTACACTTACAATAGTTGGACTTATTTGACAGAAGATAAGTGACATTTATGTTTTACTAACAGTTAGCTTTATCTTAATTTTTTTTATGTCTCATTTTATCACATACTTGGTCAGTCTAGAGGTTTAGTAAATTTAGCAGGTAGATTTTGTGTCAAACTGCATACGTTAAAATGAGAAGTAAGACCATAATCAGCATAATTCATAACAAAAAACTGGATGTTGTCACCGCTGCTGCTTGTATAGAGAGAGACCTACTTAGAACACACCTGAAAGGCCTGATGTCTGCACAGTTGGCAAGTGTTGAAAGTTAGTCAGGCTCTGTTTGATGCAGTTAGTGTCATAGCTTTGTAAAGAGTTCCAGGGGTTGTAACCCAGTTAATATACTTTTAGGTTCCAATAAGCCATTAAAGCACCAGAGATGATAAGTTGTTTTGTATTATTTTAAGTCTCACCAGATGCAAAGAATATGTTTTACTCGAATTTCTACATTTTTGTGTTTTATCTTGAGACCACAGTGAGTATTAATGAAAGGCAATAACACATTTAGTGACACACTGAACAAAAAAATCTAGAAATGGCAAACTTTTAGAATTTTGAGCAGGGATTGGAAGAAGAATTTAGAAAGGCACTAGGCAGCAGAATTTAGAATCCACTGAAATTGCATCATGTGGGAAAATGCCTTGTGCAGCTCTGTTTATGATGCATTAAGACATATTAGATGAACGTTTAAATTGTTAAGTCTTCAATTTCTTTATTAATAAAAAAAATTCCTTTCTGTTATGGCTGCCCATTGTGATAAGATTTGATATTTTGTATGCTTGTGTGAAAAGTAGACAAAATACAGGGAAGATAAATATGTTAAGAAAAAGATTATAGTATCAGAAATAAAACATTCAAATATTATGTTTCCATTGTTCTTCCAGACGTTCTCCAAAAAGTAAGAAATTCATCGCAAACTTTCTGTAAAATGCATCCATTACATGTTGATGCCATGAAGACATTTTTCATTTTGTCACATAAGTCTTGAATCTTCTAGAATTGTGGGTCTATAAATCTCGCTTTCAAATCCTTCTACACTTTCCAAGCTGCAATGTTTAAAATCCTAAAAAAAAAAAATCCCTACCCATTTTGTAACAGCAAAAATCCAGAAATATTTTGGAAAAAAAAGGAGGGAAAAAGTGTAAAATTAATTTTACAGAGAAAATTGATGCATAATCTGAGAATTTTGAATATTCTAAGATAATTACATGGGAAAAAAGCTTACTATGAAAAAATTAAAAAGAAGACATTTTTAATTACATACATAGCTAATTTTTCTTTTGCTAAGAGCTGTTCCATAAATTGTACTTTATAGCATTATACCTTGTTTATCTTTCAGATTGAAAATATTGTTGCCAAAATGAAAATACAGCAAAAAATTAAAAATGATTTATTTTAATGTTATTTTTTAAAATATAATTTCAATGTGTTACCATTATTTTAACGAAATTTTATCAATGTTACGATGTTTTAAAATAAGATTATTGAAAAATTCTCAAATGTCAGAATTCAAAATTTTCTATAGAAACTGATCTTAAAATTGCCAAAATGTTGATAAGTCGATAAATTTAGAACCGTTTAATAAACAATTCACATCCACTATGTGAAAAGTTGTTCAAGAGCTCTTTATTAGAAAAAATTAATTTTGAAATGCTTGTTTCACTCTTGCTTAAAAACTTGAGTATCCCATCATTATAAATAGAAACAAATTATAACCCATTCAAAAGATAACCATATATGTCAGTGAATCGCCAAAAATATTCCTCCAAAATGCTAATTCACACTCAAAATGGCAGTCGTAAAGACAAACAGAATTTTCAGATGATTACAATTAAGGACCTTCTGCTGATTTTGGCCAAAATTAAAGACTTTTAAGGACCACAAATCTATTTCAAAAAATCTAAGGACTTAAGGACCGTATGAATCCTGGTTAAGTTAATATATTACTCTACAATTGCAGTTGCTTTACACAAATTTAGTTTATTCAGTTATTTATAATGATTTTGATGTAAAATAATAGTTAACTATATATTCTAATTTTTGTGTTCTTTGGTTAATTTCATTTTGTAATTTTCTTTCTCTTTTATTCTTTTTGTGGTTGAAAAAACTGTCAGTACAGAAGGAAATTAATTCTTACGGGTTATAATTTATCCAAGTTCTTTTAATTATGGTAAAAATAAAATTAGTAATTAATATACATACTATTATGGATAAAATTAATAATGTACCATATATCTGTAAGATACTTTCTCCCTCCTTACCGCATGCCTTCATGGTATAGCTGGAAGCACATCTGACCAGCAATCAGAAGGTCCAAATTTCGAATCCCGGAGAAAGTACTGTACATTTTTTTATGTCCCTTACCTCTGAAAAACCAAAAAATTGCTCTAGCACAAATTAAAATGTGGAGCACAATAGTTCTTCATGACGAGGATTTGGCAACCAGGTCCATAGACCCATCTACATTCGCAGTGCAATAGGAAGAATGTCCAGTTAGCAATCATAAAGTCCAGAACTTTACAAGCGGCGAAGACACTGCTTTATTTTTCATGTTTCCGGTTTCAAAATGGACTTAACGACTCTACATTTTTGACTTGAACAAAATTAAGTACAAATATTTACTGATTAACATTAGTTGAATCTTCATATAAAGTTCGAAAAATGTTTACACCAGATTAATAAAATTCAGATGAAATAAAATTTAATAAGAAAAATTATGCTGATGATCACTAGGGATGAAATTTTACAATTTTATCTTTATTAATTCAATATTGAAACTTAAAGAGTGCAAATCTTATGTGCATAATTTAATTGCTGAAAAACAGTTTTAGGCTAAAAATTAAAAACTGGGAGGTGTCAGAAAACCAGTAGTCTCCCTGCATATCCAGAAGCTATAGTATTTAGGATGAGGTAAGGAAGAGGGATTAAATAATAAGGTAATATAAAAAGGAATCTAAAAAATTATGTAATATTCATGGAATGAAAATATTTTTAAAAATAATTTTTAAATTTAAAATTTAAGTAAAACATAGTACCATAGTTTAGTATCAACAGACATGCAGTCACAGCTCAGAAAACAATGTTACCTTTAGAAAATTTGAGGATAACAGATATACTGCTTACTTGTCATGGAATGAACATGCAGGGAAATTATGGGATAATTTTGAGGTAGCGGAAACACAATTTGAATCACTGTGGTGTAGATTTAAGAAGAATCCAAAAGATTCATGAACATTACAAAGATGTGATAAATGAACATTTACAAGACGATATCACAGAAGAATTAGAATATATAAAAACTGAAAAAGAGTATTTTTTTACCACATCAAGCTGTAATTAGAAAAAACAAAGACACCACAAAACATTATGCACCCATTAGTATTTGGATTTTAATTTCCATTCAGTTTCCTATTCCTAAAGATCTAATATAACTTTCTCATATCTAATATAATTTTTTTTTCTCTCTCCTTCTTCGTTGTCTCTCTCTCTCTCTTTTTTTTTTAATCTGGTTGTAAAATTCCGACTAAAACTGTGGAAAAGTACTAAATAAGTGAACATTTAAGAAATGTTTAAAGCCTGACAACAAAATTTAGACATTACTATAAAAATTAAAATAGGAAACTTTAAAATTAACATACATACCTAACTCAGAATCTGCAACATCGGGAGAAACTTCTTCATCGGCATCAGTTATTCCAAAAAGTTGGCTAGATAAAAAATATATGTTTTTTTAGAAAATGTAAGTCAATTAAAATTCAGAAACACATCAAATTATCATTATGTAACTGTACTCAACAGAACATATTTTGATGAATTACTAAAGGAATACAAGGGTTGCATAAACAAAAAAGGAGGGAGGGAACATTCTTTAAAACCTCAAAAATATTTTTAAAGCATTTTGCAGATTAATTTTCAAATTAAAAAATATGTTTCCATACAGAAGTAAATTTAGTTTACTTAAATAAATGCTTAGCCCAGACAACACAGTGTACAGGTTCTGAAGGAGTGTTTCGTATTGTGCAACCAGGGTATGTTTTTTGTGGTTTTCTTGGCAAGCATTCAAAACATTCTGTTATTTTCTGAAAATAAAAATGCATTTATGTCAAGAAATTTAAACAAGCATACAAAATAATTTCAAAAACAATAAATAATATGATATTTACTTTATTCACATTATGTATTACTTAAAACCATAAAAATCTTGAGCTGTTATTTAACTACAACAAAATACATGCATCTGCCTAAGAGGAAAGATGCCTTTATGAATGACTTTCTAAGGCAAATGACTTGTTTTCACTAAACACATGGGATAACCACAACAACTAAAATGCCAGACCTGGCTATGCAGCCAGTCCATTCTACTGGGATCGAACCAGTCAAAATCTCAGTATTCAGCAATTTTAACCATTTGCCCACTGATAGAGACAAAAAAACTTAATTAAGATTTTAAAAAAATTGTTCTACATTTCATGAACTTCCTCTTTCCCAATTCGTATATTAACCAAAATTAAAATTTTCTTCTTCCACTTCTCTTAAAGATGTAAATTAATAAGGGGGAGACAAAAAATTACAAAACAGTACATAAAAAGATTTAGCGAATGAAATAGATGAGGAATCAACTATTATTTGAAATGTTGCTCGGACTTAGAACTATGTTAACAGAACTGCGAGTTAATAATTGTGAGTCCTTTCATAAGTACATTAGTTAAAAAGTACAGGAGCACATTTGCTAAATATTATTTAAAGTACGAGATAAAATGTCGTTGAACTTAAAAAAAAATTCTTCTGAATAATAGAGAAGACGTGCTCTGAAATGCAAACTAGCAACAACAATATCAAAACTGATATCAACATGAAAATCAGATAAAATGGATGGGTCTTAGTGTATATACTTGAATCACAGGAAAAGCATTTTTTTTTCCTCCCCCCATCTGTCTGTCAGTATGCTCAACAGAATCTGCCAGAAGGTACCATGTAGCAAGCAAAGCACTCAGGTTGGCAGCAGGTCAAAATCAAGGCATCCATGCTTTGCACCAAAGTGAGTTATAGATGATTCTATCAAACTCTCTCATAAATAAATAACCACTCAATGATAACTGCTGTTTGTGAATAACAGACCTTCAAAATTTGTATCAAAATGTCATCCTTCTGTAAAGAGAACTTTTAACAGCAATTGAAAGAATATTTTTCCGAAGATTTTCTTCTGCGATGAATCCAAAGTCAGCCTGCAACTGGATCGTCAATGATACCTGATCTGAAAGGAATGTAGCGCCAATACAATTCAGCCTTGTTTGGACAGCATGATCTTGGGTGGGCAAACCTGAATGGCATGCACATCACTCGGAATGAGTCCCAGATTATTTTATGAAAGAAGATTCTTAGACAGAGATTCAACTTTTTTTTTTTCCCCCCCCCGGGGGATCAAGATATAATTCATTATACCCACCATCATACAGAAAAAACAGAGCACACAGAATTCCAGGTTTGAATTTGATAGAAAAGGCTTGATATATATGGAAACATGTTTCTGTTAGAACATTGCCTTCTCTGATATATCTTCAGTTGCAAAATGCTCTTCTTGAAAAATAAGAAAGACACCCCTAAAATCTCACCAACTACATCATTAATTCAATGCCTCACATGCATGAAACAGTTACACATTTGAGTGTGAGGTAACCATAACTGTCCACCCTTACTGGACAGTTCACAAAGTTCTTCAATTCATTATTATTTTTTTCTCTCAAAAAGTGGGTTAAGATTCTTTATGGCAGGTGAGTTTTCTGTAAAATAAACTTTGTTTACATTAAAACAATTTTGCATGTGTTTGATTCTTTATTTCATTGTTGTCATTGTTCTTTCCCCCTCCCCCATGCTGCATATTTATCAGCAGTTGTCTATTGTTAAATCCCTTGCTTGCCTAATTTTGTTCAGTAGGATACTTAACGTTCAAATTCAAAAACAAAAGATACTAAGAATTATATTCAAGTTGCACACAAATTATATTTATTAATAATCTAAATGATCTTTGAATCATCAATTCTCAGGCACCACTGGATATATAAATCATAGATAATTATGTTCATTATTGGGAATTTGAAAGATCTAATATGGTCAATCAATCAGTTTAAAGAAAAATGAATCACCAAATTACAGCCTATTGCATTAAACACTTTGAAGCACAACTGAAGTGATATTTAGAATTGAAATGCAATAAAAACATAGTTAAAAAAATTACTTCTTATTCAAAAAAATTCTAATTTACTGAAAGATCATGAGATTCTCTGAAGCATAATTAAAATATTTTGAATTAAAAGTATGTTTTAATAGTTAATTATTGAGAATAAAATTATTTATTTATTTATTTAGAATTATAACTATATTTTAATTGCTAACTACCACTGATTGACATTTATAATAAAAATGATACTTAACACATTAAAGTATACATTTCATTTACTTTCATTCTAAGTATCATTGAAATACATTATTTATTACTTATCAATACATTAAAAATTTAAGCAGAGTTCTTAAAACAGAAAATGCATTTATATAAATAAACACAAAACAATTACAAATAACAATTAAGTGTTAATATACTAACTTTTTTATAAACTGTTACTTGTCCTACATATCCAGAAGTTCCACTTTCAATAAGCGGAATGTCAGCAGCCAAGCACATTCTATTAACGTGGCTTCGAGCAGCTATATTTGAATGAATAATAAATTCGTTATAACAATGAGAGGTACTTTTTTATAATCAGGACTGGATTCAGAAATATATATGTGTGTGTTCATATAATATATGTGCATAAATGAACAGATACTTTCCATACATATATATATTTCTGAATTCAGTCCTGATAATAGAAGAGTGTAGAACAAGAAATGAAACTTGTTTCAAGTTTAAATAATAAAACAAAAACAGGATTTACAGGAAAAAAATTTTAAAATGCGATTTATAAAATGAAAGCTCAATTAAAGTGTGGATGGCTCTAATGGATTTTTTTTTTTTTTTTAAAATTAGCTAGATGCTTGCGTATTATCCCATTGACTGTAAAAGTTGGTGAAGATCCCACCAAAGTTGCACTAGTTGTTCCTGTGGAATTCTGAACCATGCTTTATGCAACTCTTACATTAAAGCATTGATCAGTCTCTCAGCACAATCCAACAAATAGCCACTACTACAGAAGTATTTTAACACTTCATATACTTTCATACATTTCTACTATTTTGTTATGCCCTTGAATTAAGTGGAAGCTCTGTTCAGAATACTGCGATTACAAATTTCCTGTTGGCTCCAAGCTATATAATGTTTTGTTGCAAATCCAGCCATTCTTTCCCTATTCAACAATGTTAATTCTCTCAACCAACTGTAAATGAACAGGTCTGCAGTCACAAGTGTGATATTAACTAGCTTATTAAGAATCATTTTGGGCTACAATAAAAAAATGCAGATATGAGCATCTTGTGATATCACACTCACTCATATTGAGGCATTTATGTTTTACTTACAAAATGCTATGCAATTTACTTCTTTCTTTTCAGCTTCTTTCCACGATAAGGTTCACTCATTCAAAGATTTATGTAGATTTGAACGACTCGCAGTTTACTACGAAATTTACAGAGTGACAAATAGGAGTGTAAGAGAGTTTGACTTACGGTCCACTGCTGTCTTACCAATTAAAGTCAAGTCTGTTGGTAACTCCGATGCTGGTGTTGGCACAAATATTTTAGATTTTGGTAAGTGGTGCATTTGAATTTCTGTCACAGTCTAGGCAAAAATAGACTGTGACAAGCTAGTCTAGTCAAGTTAAATTTAAAATGTTGAACTTAATGCAGTTGTAGAAACAGTCTGTGTTTAATTCAGGACGAGCTGGCTGGTAACTGATTTATATATTTTAATTTAATGCCTCACAAGTCGGAATGTAGAATAAATTTAAAAGTGTGTTTATTTTTGTGCCTGTTTACTTAAAAGTGAGAAATTCTCGTAGTGATTAGCTGTAGTAAAGTGTTTTTTTTTTTTTTTTTTACTGAAATTGAGTTAGCCAAGTTCCTTGCACCCACAGCAAATATTATAACATAACTGGCACTAAATTCCACTAGTTAGCGACAATTTCATCTTAGCACCAATGTCCCATTTAACTTTTTAAAAATACTATTGATAACAAAAAGGAAGAGAAACACACAAATGTAAAATTTAAAAACAGGCAACAGAAATTTTTCCCCCGAAGAAAAGTTACCTGTGTCTGATCACCACTGAAAGCCATAATTTTTAATTAATACCTATGCCAAAATACGATTACTGTTTTGGTGAATAAAAAAATACCACTGATAATTCAGAAACATATCTGAAGAAAAGAAGTGTTCGCTGCTTCTTTCGGATGCTTTAAGATTTTCTTGAAATTTCACTTTAATGTCTAATAATTACATAGTGCAACAAATAAAAAATTGTGTTAACTTTTCTCCCCCAATTCTGAACTCACCAGAGAGACTTTGCTCTTTCTCCACCCTAAGATTTCGATTGTGCCACCATTGGCGGACAACATAATATTTGGAGGTGCCATGGTATAACATTATAGAATCCTCCACTTGTAATTCTTTTTATGTTATGTTTAAAAGAAAATATTTTAAACACCATTTTGTTGAATGTTTGTTTATTTTTTGAATTAAAGAAATGCACTTTCCAGTAATAAACTGGTGCCCAGACCACAATCCTCAGACGATATTTAATTGAAAAACTCAATGCTCTATTAACAAAATATTAGATTGTGTTCCAGCCAGGGGTAAAAACAACCCCCTATATAGTACCTCATATAAATACCAGGAATAATTTTCCATTTTCAGTACTCCCATATGTTTTAAAGAAAAAGTTTGATGATCTGCCTGAAAAGAAAATAACAGAAGAATGTAAATCTTCATATGCTGCATCAGTGGTTCTCATACCCAAACCAAACAGAAAAATCTGACTTTGCAATAACTGAGGTGTGAATGCTGCTATGATGTCAGACTCATATACTCATATGATGTCACAAATGGACGACTTACTACATGCTGCTAAACATATACCATATATGAAAACCACTGATTTGCAGTCTGGGTACCATCAAGTTAATAAGTTAGGAAGAGTACTTTTTAGATATAATAGTTTAAAACGAATAAATAGTAAAGTTAAGTTAAATTTAAATTATTCTCTTGCACCATTGCTGCAAGGAATGAAATTAACAAATATTCTCTATTCTTAAAAAGCAAATTTAAAGTTAATTAAATTTTAAAAATGAAATTTAATGCAAACAAATGATTAATTATTGCTGGGAACTAATCTACAATATCAATTAAATTCTGAGAGCATATGTAAATCAAGTGCAAGTTTCAAATTCATGAATAAATGTAAATATAAAATTCTAAAAATTATTTAATCCTAAAAAATTATTTAGAAAAATGCAAAAGTGAATGATTGTTGAGCAGGCAGGAGACAGACTTATCAAGGGGAAGTTGCCTCCAAACCTAACTCTTCAATCATTCAATTTGTGTTTTGTCATTTCTGTAGGCAAGAGTTAAAGTCAAACCAATAATACCAAATGTTGTGAATTACTAAAAAGAAATTTAAACAGGGTTGCCACTCAAACAGGAGAATGAAATTCCCTGACTTTTCCAGGTTTTCCAGGTATGTTTCGAGAAAATTCCAGTCTATCCGCGTAATGTACGTTGGCTGTGCTAAGAGGTAAATTAATTATGGTATTACTTGTACTTGTGTAGGAAATTCACTTAATTATTCAATAAATCTCAGAGGACATTTATTCTTAATTATTCTTGGTACAACTTTGTTTGATAATTTTTTGTTTACTTTTCCACTTAAGAAACTTAATAAAATGTCAGAATATATACATTGGATAACAATTGTACGTTTTATTTAATTATTACTCATGATCATCACCAGTTCAACATGAGGCTAATCTGGTTCTTATAAATCACAACAACGCAATGCTAAAAGTTAGGTTAGATTTTAGGTACAAATTTAATTTGTGTGAGGTGTCTTCTTGAAAGGCACCTTAACACTTGAAAACACAAATATAATTATAATCAGGGGCGTAGCTAGAGGGGGGCAAGGGGGCATCTGTCCCCGGGCGCAGAATCCAAGGGGCGCCAAACTGATGTTACGACATTTTAGAATTAAATGTTTTCCATCCTCGGCAAGCAGTAGGGGGCACGGAATCTTCAGTTGTCCCTGGGCGCTGAAAACCCTAGCTACGACTCTGATTATAATAGGAGTTGTTTTCTCCACTCTAAAGATTGAGATTAGAATCTTCCCAATCTGGAATAAAATAAGGCTTTTTTTTGCAGACATTCTGCAGCTAAATGAAAGAAAGAAATCTATTTAATGATATTTTTTTACTAAATTGAGGTATTTTATATTTATTTCGCAGCATAAATAAGGAAAAAATATGTGCATTAAATTTCCAATTAGTGGATGTCATCCACTAATAAATATTTTCACTAATAAATATCATACTGCTAGAATTAATTTCAGGATTATGCCAGAGAAAATTTCTTGAAATTTGGAAATATTATTTACTAATGATAAATAAATTTAGAGGGAAGAAGCAACATTAAATGATATGAATAACATAAAAATAAAGATAATTGCTTAAAAATTGAATTAGAATAATCAACGATATTTTAGCGAATATAGTTATATTACATGGTTAGCCTAGATGACTGATTACTATTTTTTTATTTTACTGCAAAATGACAAAGTATTTATTATAAAGGATAAAAAAAAAAAAAAAAAATTGCGGTAAAATCCTAGTATACGGTACGGCCTTCGCACGATTTTGAAAATTGCCGCCAAGAACAAAATGACTCGTTTACTGCTCATCATCATGTCGCCAAATCCCACTGTACCATACATGGAGATTATTCTAACCAAAGAACGTCTATGTAAAGAAGAAAAGGTTCCATACACGTAAATGCTATTACGCGGCTAGAAAGCGGAGGGAAAATTTGCTAAGGGATTTGGCGACGGAACCTGGCGGCCAGAATTTCCCTCTCCGCGATGTGTACAGGAAATTTAGAAACACGTGTTAAGAAGAAACGTTCTTTGACAAAAAAGAAAGCTACGAAAATCCATTTTTAAATTATTGCGAAGAATCCAAGAAGAAACGTTTTATCAAAGAACGTTTTTTCTTGGATTTTTCGCAATAATTTTAAAAACGGATTTTCGTAGTTTTTTTTTTTTTTTCCCCTCAAAATAACTAATCCATGAATTAATTTACTTGCGCCAAAAGATATTTTCTTTTCCTTTACATTAGAGTTTAAAGAAATTTTAAACGATATTCATTTTATGAATTCTTGATTAACGTGACCTTCGAACTTCGACACCGCTTTCAAGCTTTGGCGACATATATATCGCGCACGCACAGCTGTTTCCCTCCATGATGGAACGGAGCCACGTGTGTTGCAGAGAGGTTTTCTTTCTTTACAATACATATTTTTTGATTCTAACCTTCATGGTACCGTATACTAGGATTAAACCCATTTTGTTTTATACGAGAACAGGTACTTTCTTTAGTTCATGCACTGCACATGCGATTCTCGAGGAAACCAAAAGTTGCGGGAAACTTGATTTGCCTTTCTAAAAGACAATCACATTGGAGATGCGAAAATTGGCTCTATGCCAGCTGCCCGAATGACACTACGTGATACATAATTCGCCAAAAAAGTGATCTCTTCCGACGTCGGCGCAAAACTCGCCTTTTTTGGCGGGATCGTTGTATGAACTTCCCTGACTTTTCCAGATTTTGACAAAAATACTTAAATTCCCTGACTTTTCCCTGAATTTTTTGGTCAATTTCCGAATTCCCTGACTTTTTCCGGTTTTCCAGGTAGCGTGGCAACCCTGTTTCAACAAATGGAATTTCGAGAAATTAGCAAGTAAATGACTAGAATAAAATTAAAAAAAAAGGTCAATTAAGAGTAGACAATCAAATGTTTTAGAAAACCAAAGTAATTTAGAAACTCTTGCCTACAGAAAACTTTCCCCGACACGAATTATGCATATATAATCAAAAAGAAACTAGATATTATCCATAAAAATACATAAGTAATACTAAAAAGGCAAGTAAATAGTAAATTTTAATTTAACTTATAAACTATATTTGCACTTTGAGAGTGGAGCAGCATTTGCCAAACTAAGTGATGTTAAGTAGCTTAAGTTAAGTGATGCGTTTCTGCTAACTTTATAAATGGAGGGCGCTAATATAAGGTTGAATATTAAGCTGCTATATGTTAGATCTATTGATATAAGGTTAAATTGAGTGTTAAGCTGCTATCTGTTAGATCTACAAACTACTTAACATCACTTAGTTTGGCAAATGCTGCTCCACTCTCCAAATACAAATATAGTTGGTAAGTTAAATTAAAATTTACTATTTACTTGCCTTTTTAGTATTATTTATGTATTTTTATAGATAATATTTAGTTTCTTTTTTATTTATATGCATAAATCGTGTCGAAGTTTTCTGTAGACAAAAGTGGAAATTGCTTTGGTTTTTAAAAAATTTCGTTTTCTACTCTTGACTTTTTTAAAATTTTAATTCTAGTCATTTACTTGCTCATTTCTCAAAATTCCACTTGTTTAAATTTCTTTTTAGTAATTCACAACATTTGGTTTTACTTTTGGTTTTGGCTTTTACTCTTGCCTACATAGATGACGAAACACTAATTGAATTTGAAGAGTTAGGTTTGGAGGCAACTTCCCCTTGATAAGTTTGTATCCTGCCTGCTCGATGATTATTCACTTAATTATTTAAGTGAATAATCGTTGAGTTCACTGCATTTTTATAAATCTTTTAGGATTAAAAAATTTTTGGAATTGTATATTTATTCATGGATTTTGATACTTGAAATTGATTTACATATGCTCTCAGAATTTAAATGATAGTGTAGATTAGTTCACAGCAATAATTAATCACTTAATTGTTTGCATTAAATATCACTATCAAAAATTTAACTTTAAATTTGCTTTTTACGAATAGAGAATGTTTGTTAAATTCTAGTTATAATAGGATGTTTTAATATTTATTTTTTATCACTTTACTATTATGTAAATGATTACATGAACTGCAGGGATTTCTATGTTTTATCAGTATATACTGATGTGTAATTCTGGTTTTTATCTCCTTCAATTTTTACACAAAACCATCTCCTTAAATGTATCTTTTATGTATTAATTAATCAGCATTTTCACAATTTATTCTGACAGTCACACTTGCTCTGAATGAGGGAAGGCAGTAAATTAAATACTTTTATTTCCCACTTAAGTAAATAAAGTATAGTGAATTTAAACAAATTTAAATTCTTAACAATAGGTATAAAAGTAAAAAAGTAAAAAAGCAAATTTAAATTCTAAAAAAGGAAAAAAAACCAAAATAATTTAAGAATATTTATATTTAAATTTAATTTTTAAATTAAAGTCAATTTATTCTTATGAAACAATAAAGTATAGTGAACTAATATTTATGTATAAATTATATTTGCTACAGAAAACAATGACTATTTTGTGTAGCTTTTTACAGAACACTTTTCTAATAAAATATAATTTATTTCTGACATTATTTTCATATCTAATTATTTCATTCATGTTCTTACATATCACAAATCCTTATAATTCAAGGATTTGTGATACATCCAACTGTACAATAATTCAAATCTTTAATTCTAAATTCAAAATGTTAAATTATCTTTTTGTGTGTAATTAAATTTTTGACAGCAAAGCATACATGTAAAAAATCAATCAAACATAAAAAGGGAGGAGGGATTATATACAAAAAAAGAAAGGAAACATACCAACATTATCCAAAGCATTTGTAACTACTGAAAACTGGCGAAAAAATTCGACATTGTACTGTGTGCTGCAAAAAAATTATTTAAAGTTATGAACAAATAAGCATGAACACAATATATAAAAATCAAAGATAGAAATACTTTAGTTTAAGTTATAACATAACAAATGACATTTTATATTTAGTCAGGAATATTACCATCAATGACAAGCTCAAAAAAATGGTTGATAATAATACATATAGGCAAAGAAACCAATTGGGTTTAATATGAAAGTTCAGTAAAAAAATAGTACTTTACAATTTCTAACAGCATCTCAGCAAAGAACCGAAAAAGTTGGGCCAAAAATTATTTATTTAATTATATATATATATGTGGTGTGTAATAGAGCTGTGATATTTTGATTGGGCAATAGCTGCAAATGATTGGTGATGATGACGTTGTAACATTTTGGTGAAGGCTTTTTTTGCATAGATACAAGCATGACATTTACAGACAGACATGCCCAAAGACATACTTTATTGCTGGACAACTAATTCTTGATACACATTTCTTCTTCCCATATTATCATCATGGGCTCAATATGCACCAAATCTTTATTTCATTCCTTAAAATCTACATATTAGAAAAATGGATGAGCAGAGAGACAAGCGGCACAAGGTAGCAAAGGGAAGTATACATCTGATGTACACACCTTGATCTGTGATTGGATAAGAGCTGCCTGCATTGCAGGATTACATAAGAAAGCAAAAAACAGATTAATTTTGAAAAGACACAGTCCAGAAAAAAATATTATCATGATGGGTTCATGGATAATATTTTGGGCTAACGTATCATGAGCTCTATATGCACAAAATCTTTATTATATTCTTTAAAATTTACATATTAGAGAAAAATGGATGAGCAGAGAGACAAGCGGTGTGAGTTAGCAGAGAGCAAATGCAAGGGAAGTACACATCTGGTGTACACACCTTGATCTGCGATTGGATAAGAGCTGCCTGCATTGCAGGATTGCATAAGAAAGCACAAAACAGATTAATTTAAAAAAGACACAGTCCAGAAGAAAATATTATAAACTGATACAGTCAAAAGTCTTTAATCCGGATTGGTCAGGACTTCGACGATTCCAGGTTATCGGTTTTTCCGGATAATAGATCATCAATTTAAATCTGTAAGATGGCATGCAGAAATTATAAAATTAAAAATATGAAACCGTAATTTATGAAATAAAGAACAATTATGATCTAAAGGGTATCAAAATTTTCAAAAAAAAAAAAAAAAAAAAAATTTTATTTGTTTATTTTATTAAATATTCTAACAACGCACGCATGTAAAGCATACATTACGCATAGTCGAAATTAGAAAATTGCAACCAGAAAACTATTTGATGTGTATTGTGATATTTATAATGACGAGGAATTTGATTTAAATCATTTTAAAGACGGAGTACATCGAGATGAAATACTACATTTAGTAAGGAATTATATAAGCCGAATACAATAAAAACAACTGCCCTGAAGATAAGGATAGTCGTGACAGATCAACTTCCAGTTCATTGCGTGCCGTGACATTGAATTTTTACAAAGAAAAGGCATCCTTCATTATAGAAAATTATGTTTGAACAACCAAGGATGAAATTATGCTTTCGCGATACTTTCGGTAGCGAAATAGCGATTCAGGCATCCATTCAGTTATGTTTAGCAATTTTTATGTAAATTACAATAATGACCTGAAACACTTATTTACTCTTATGCTTCCATTCAGTAATGTTTAGCATTTTTTTTAAAATATAATAATAAAAAAGTATTATCTGAAATTAACCTTTCATCTAAATTAATACATCAATCTTGGATTAATTATTTACTATTATACTTCCTTTCTTGCATTAGGGTTGCCGCAATTATTTTTGGCAGCATTGGCATCAACAATAGTTTGGCGATTTTTTACAGCCCTCAAAACCAAATAGTACCCAATAATGCTTTCCGCTTTTTCCTCACCTTTGAATAGCATAATTAACTTTCAGAACTAATTTTAGAGGCAAAATGTAATGAATTTACAGCATAATTTCATTCTTAATGCTGAAAACAAATTTGGTTATCTTCACTTAAAGATAATAAAACTTTTAGAATGACAAGGAAGACAAAGGAAATGCTTTCAACGGAAATTCAAAGTAAATCGATTTCTCGTACAACACCATACTATAAACACATACCATCGACCATAATCCTGCATAATGCTGAATCACCGATTATTTCGAGAACAGTTTTTCCTCTCTAAAGTGGTTTCATAATGCCCTATTTTACTTCACTGGACATTACAACTTTTTGATTTGCAGATATTTCCTACTGTAATTTCAAAGAAGTTAACGGCAACAAATACCTTGGCACATTAAACATGCCTGTTCTAGAACATAGCATTTACATTTTTATACCAACACTGCACTGGAAAGAAAACAGCGCAGCAGTATCTTAGTGGCAACAGAAGCAGAAGCAAAGTGTTAACAGAGCAAGGGAAATTATGAATTTAGAAGTGTGAGAAAGTCAAAAGGTATCTTGTTCTGCAATTGGATAAAAGCTATCCACATTGCAGGACTACATAAAAAAGAATAAAATGGGTTAATTATGAAAAGACACAGTTGAAGAAAAGTTATTATAAACTACTGCTACTTTTAGAACAGAAATGGGAGATATACAAATTAAAATGAAGAATCATAAGGCTATTGTTAACTTAATTTATATACAGGGTGTTTATAAAGTCTCGGACCCATTTTGATCTTTAAGAACTCGATACTTGGAGCTTTCATGATCACTCATCTACTATACCTCTTGGAGCAACACAAGAGAGGACTTGACAGCTAAAATTGGTTGGTAAGCCTTTGAATTATTTATTTCTTAGTATCAATCTTTGAAAACGAAACATAATGGATGATTTAACAAAACAGAAAAGGAAACGTACTGTTGTACGTAGTAAAGTTACCACACTTTTAAATAAATTTCAGAAACTATTATCGGAAGAATTAAGCAAAGAACATCTAGAAGATTTAAATTCATCAAATGAATTGTTACTTGAATACCATGAAAAACTTAAAAAAGTCTTGATTCAAAGATCGATGCTCTTATAACTGATGAAAAAGAACATGATAATGAATTACTTGCATGTGAAGAACATGATGAAAAAATAACAACATTTAAAGCTAAGATTGTTAGTAAAATAAAGAAAATTAACAGTAATCAAATTGTTGAAAGAAATGCACTAGTAGTACTCTGAATGATAACAATGTTGTTACAAGTAGTGCTTTTTAGTAAAGTTACCTAAATTGAATATTGAAAAATTTGCTAGTGATCCCAGTAAATGGCTCGAATTTTTTTAATTCCTATAATAATGCAATTCATTCTAATCCAAGTTTATCAAAAATAGATAAGTTTATTATTTGGTTCTGCATACAATTGTGTATTTTCACACTTGCGCCAACTATTAAATATCATATAAAGAGGACCATAGTGATGTAGAAATGTTAGATAAATTCTTGTATGTAGATGACCTTTTGCATGGGGCCGAAAGTGATGATAAAGCATTTTATCTGCCAACTACTGCGGTGAATATTCTGAAAGATGCAAACATGCATCTTCAAAAATGAAACATAATTCTAGAGTTCTAAGAGAACTACGGTCAAAAGTGGAATTGATTTTGAGGAAATTAATTTAAATAAAAAGTCATCAAAAGTTCTAGGCTTGAAGTGGGATACAGATCAAGATAAGTTTAGATGTAACACAATTCAGAGGAATCGCTTGATGAACAAAAAGTAACTAAAAGACTCATTTTACAAACCGTAGCCAAAATTTATGATCCTATGGACTAATTTCTACATATGTTATTAGAGCTAGGTTTATGATTCAAGAATTATGGGAATCCGGTTGTGATTGGAATTCCGAGGTACCTTGACGAGCTAAGAAGGAAGTTCTTGACATGGTCTTCTGAAATCGAAGGAACTTGTTAATATTAATATTCCTGGAAGATATTCTTTTGTGTGGTTCTGAGCAATTAATGCAGAAACTATGATCCTAATTGTTTTCGGCAAAGCCAGTATCAAAGGATGTGGTAGTCTAGCGTATCTTCAAAATATCACTACTTTGGAGACATCCTTTACACTATCTAAAAGCAGAGTAGCTCCTCTAAAGACGCTTACACTTCCGCGCTTCGAACTGATGGCAGCTACTATTGCTGCTACGATAGCTAATTATCTGAAAACACTCTTTAACATCAAGGAATGCAATATTTATTGCTTTAGTGACTTTCAGAAAGTACTTCATTGGATAAAGGGCTCTGCCAATAATATAAAGCCCTTCTGCACAGCAAATTATGTTAGAGAGATACAGAATTTAATCACTCCTTCTCAATGGCAGTTTTGCAAGGGATGTGAAAACCCAACAGATGCTGTATCACAAGGATAAATCTAACAGATCTAATCTGCACAGACAATGAATTTTGGTTTCACGATCCACCTTCAGTAATCAAAGGGTTGAACCTGTTTAGATCCTGAAGAGGAACTTTCTCTTGAAGAGCAGCAAAAAACTGCGGTGTGCATTGAATCCA